CCCTTTCGCCTCCGCGGAGCGGAAAGATGGCGGCGGGCGGCGGCGCGGGGGCCCCGGCGGAGCCGGGCTGGGAGGTGGCCGTGAGGCCGCTGCTCTCCGCCTCCTATTCGGCCTTCGAGATGAAGGAGCTCCCGCAGCTGCTCGCCTCGGTTATCGAGAGGTGAGGGCTTACCGGCCCCGGGCCCTGCCTTCCCTCAGCGTCCTTCCCTCAGGGGGTGGGTGGCCGGCGGCGGGGAGGGGAAGCCGGTGGGGGGGGTTGTGGGGAGAAGACCCTGCCGGGTGCTGGGCAAGGGGGACAGCGGAGGTGGCCGGCGGCTGCTGGGACTGCCGGGGAAAAAGGGAGCCCCGAGCAGCGTCCGGGGAGTTACTCACGCCCAAGCCACCTCCCGCTTTCCCGGGGACTGGGAGGCTCTCGGGGTGGTGCCCTTGGGACCTAATAAGCGGGGCTGGGGATGCACGCCCGGCTGTTGGCTTCGGCTGCTGCTCGGCCACAGCAAAAGCACCTTTTGACAGTTCCCCCGCGGAGAGGCTTCGGGACTGCTGTGGCCTTTGGGCTTTTGTTGAAGCGCTTGGCGCTTTCCCAGGCTGTGCGGGGAAAACTCGTCTCTCACCTGGGCTGTCTCCCCCGCTGACAGAGTCCTGGGGGGGGCGTTGGTGTTATTGACTTCCTTTTAGGTTTCTACCAGGGAAATACTGCTCGTATGTTGAGGAGAAATGAAACTGAAGGAAGTCAAGTTTACCTTTGCTTAACCAGAAAGATTAGACTCGGAGCATGGGAGCAGTTGTTGGAGCTATATAATTTAACTTATAGTTTATTTTGTAATCAGAAACACTAGGTATGATGCTACAACGTTATGCTCAGTTACAAAGATATAACCCTGACCACAATAAGTTGTTAGGAAACAAAAAATAAACACTGCGCCAAGGATGATAATAAAATAAAGCCTTGTGCTGTTTTACTTAATATAGAATGGCTGAGCACACAAGCAAGGGATGCTTAAATGGGTGTTCTGTGCCTGTATACGTATTGTTGTGGTTCACCTAGAAATTCAATGTGTGATTTGGGCAGTTCTTAGGCTGACCTTTCTTTTAGGGACCATTTCAGCTTTGCTGTCAGTGTGCCTGCAGTTCATTATTGGGGTGCTTGGGCAGGAGAACATCACAGAAACACTTAAGAGTACGTGCTTCACTTTTGGGAGAAGTCTGTTTCCTCCATAAGTGAGAACGATGGTTGCATTTTCCACTTGAGACAGCAGTTTGTTGGCTTTAAGTCGTGCTGCCCTGAGGTTTGAGTTGTGTGCCTGATGCTGACAGTGTTTCACACCTGGCAGGGTTCAGTGCGAGCACGAGGCCTTTTATTTCATATATCTTTTATTTCATGCCTTGATATAACATGTGGCAAATCACAGAGGAAAAAATAAAGCTTATTCGTGTTTGTAGCCATGCTCTTCTATTCTGAACAAATAACATATCTTTAGATAACCTAAAACATTTTACCTGTTCAGGTTATTTTTAGAAGATGATTCTTAGCTCTTGTAGTGTTACTGTTGGTTGACACCGCAAAGTGGCTGCATTTCTCCTTAAATAAATGTGGTGCAACGACAGAGAAATCACTAACGTTACTCTTATCAAAATAAATTAATAAACACTTTTTCCTAATGACTCTTACACTTAATTTTTAGGTTTAAGCATCATCAAGTTACTGGAATTCCCCTATTAGTATGCGTATTCAAGAATTTATAAGCTTTGGCCTCTTATTTGACATAAACTGTGGAAAATGCTGACTTGGAAAGATGCAGCTGAAGGGGAACACATTTTATAAAGTTTGTGGTCGAATGAGGTGGATTTTCAGGAGAGGGTTTTCTGTCGGGGGAGAACTCCTGCACCTGCTGCTGTGCCTTTGCGAGGAAGAGGCTGCTTTTGTGCCTGCTGCCTTACATAAAGGGTCTATTTTGGGCCTGTTTGAGATTTGGAAGCAGAACTGAGAAAGGAGGTGGTATTTGTTGCCGACGTGTTACATTTGATATTGACAGAGAGGCTTCTCGCTTCGTCTGAGTAATGAGTTTCCCTGGGAAGCAAAAGTTATTTAAGCAATAAATCACAATACGTCAGCTGAAAGTTATTAAATCTTGCTGTATGTGCAAAGTAACGTTCCAGCGCATCACAGAGTAAACTGTTATCACTGGTGAGGCCCCACCTCGAGGGCTGTGTCCAGTTTTGGGCCCCTCATGACAAAAAAAACATTGAGGGGCTGGAGTGGGTTCAGAGAAGGGCAATGGAGCTGGTGAGGGGTCTGGAGAGTAAGTCTGATGAGGAGAGGCTGAGGGAGCTGGGGGTGTTGAGTCTGGAGAAAAGGAGGCTGAGGGGAGACCTTCTCACTCTCTCCAACTCCCTGAAAGGAGGGTGTATCCAGGGGGGGTCGGTCTCTTCTCCCAAGGAACAGGCGATGGGACGAGAGGAAATGGCCTCAAGTTGCACCAGGGGAGGTTCAGATTGGAGATTGGGAAAAATGTTTCCACAGAAAGGGTTCTTAAGCCTTGGAATGGGCTGCCCAGGGAAGGGGTTGAGGCACCATCCCTGGAGGGATTTAAAAGCCAGGTTGACCTAGTGCTTAGAGCCATGGTTTAGTGATGGTTTTCATCAGGGTTAGGCTGATGGTTGGACTGGATGATCTGAAAGGTCCCTTCCTTCCCTTCCCCTGGGTTTTGTGCCTTGTACAGCTTGGCCTGTACAGCAGAAGGGTAATTGAGGGACGAGCTGCCAATTTCTCCTGTACTGCGTTATTCCCAAATTGTTCTCATTTGTTCTCTTAAAATACATCCTATACACCTACAGCTGATGATTTATAGTCGGGCGTGAAGAGGTAGGTGAGCAAAATTAGTGTCTAAATAGAAGAGAACACAAACTTTTTTGTACATTCAGTCTCTGGGCTCGTTACCCATCCATGCACTTCTGGCAAGAGACAGCAAGGTGAAGCCCGGTGAGCGAGACGTTGGGACTCAGTTGTGTTACACTGCTGAATAGCTTCAAGTAAAGCCTGTCTCTTCGTAACAGCTACAAAGCTGAGGAGTATTTCTCTCTGTTCATTTTTCTGGAGAATTGATGCATTCTTGAGTTTCTTCTGTTTCAGCCACGTCTCTTGTTATGACTGGAAACGATGATTTAGGATAGAAGAAGGGAAGGCGACTGGGCACAAATGGGGCACTGCTGAGATCAGCAGGGAACGGTGTGTCCTCTTCCTCCTCCCACCCTGCCAGAGCTGGGTGCAGGGGTGTGAAGGGGATACGTGGGTTCCTTTTGCCGTTCTCTGCAGCAGCACTAGTCACTGCTGAGCTTGAGAAATCATTTTAGTTGCAGTATCGAGCAGCGATAGGCTGGTGGCCTCTGCTCCCTGCATCCCCCCCAGTCAGAAACTCCGTTGCCAGAGGTGGAATTTCGAGAGGTAAAGTTGAAGTGGCCACTGAAATGGAGTCATACAATCTATTCTTTCAACTTGCTCCTTTCTGTCACTGAGTGAAAATGTGAAAGACACTAATTTAAGCATTTAGCAGGCAGATATCCACATCCTGCGGTTTTGTCGCAGGAAAAACGAAGGGCAGAAGTAGGTGTCAATCTATTCTTTCAACTTGCTCCTGAGTGAAAATGTGAAAGACACTAATTTAAGCATTTAGCAGGCAGATATCCACATCCTGCGGTTTTGTCGCAGGAAAAACGAAGGGCAGAAGTAGGTGTGGAGCAGAGAGGAGTTCCTGTTCTTGAGGTGGTTGCCTTCAGGTTCCTCTGCAGATGGGATGTGGTGTGACACGTTATTGCAGCAGCCTTTAGCCTGCTGTGTCTGAGCATAAATAAATATTCTCTGTGGCCGGTGAGCCCCACTGAGAAACCTCAGAGACTTGACTTCCAGTGTGTTGGTGCATACTTTGCTTTGCAGTTTTTACTTTTGCTTTGAATTGACGTGACATTTTAACTCGCTCCAAGCTTTACATTGATTTGTGCGCGGGGCAGAACGATGCAGATCTCTGCAATGGCAAATCTCCACCCATGGATGTATTTTTCTCCTCTCCGTGTTGCCTGCCAGAACTCTTTACTCCTCAGCTTGTTTCAGACACTGCCGCTGTGTATTTGTTGTTATTATGCAATTGCCTGTTCTGATCCTTCTGTTTTGCAGAATTGCACAAACTCCAGTTGACTCCGGGCCTTGACAGAAAGGGAATGCCAGTGCTCCAGCCCTGGCAAAGCCTGCCTGGCTTTAGCAGAACAAACAGTCCAGACTTTATGGGCAGCTGAGTTTAGAATAACTTACAGATTAATGAATCTCCGACAGGGAGAGTGATTGTTAAAGAGGCTGTCCTTTTGATGCTGTAAAGGAGAAACTTTGGCAGAATTGGAATTATTTCCTTAATTTCCTCTGTGGATAGCGATGCTGAGCCGTGGTCTCTCTGCTGCTGGAGTCCTGAGGATGTGGGAGATGGAACACAAGGGAGAGGATTCTGTCTCAAAACTTTGATTTGGGAAAAGCATGTGATTTTAATGATGGTGTCTGATATGTGTTAATAGATTTATCATATTCTGAGTGTGATGCGGTGCCGCTGTTGTGCTGTGTACAACTGACATATCTCCTGTTCTCCTCTTGCAGTGAATCTGAAATCCTGCACCATGACAAACAATATGAGCCTTTTTACTCTTCCTTCGTTGCACTTTCTACACATTACATCACTACTGTGTGTGGTCTGAGTAAGTGTTCACCCTTCTTTTGCTTCTCTTGCTCTGGTGTTATGATTAGGATATAGTAAAAATGAACTGGAACTGTTGTCCTTTTGGTATTTGTCTCCAACCCTCTCTCTGAATCAGACTTTAATGCAGAGACCAGCGTTCCTGGCTTTTGTGCTGGCAGAATGTCAGTTCAGATGGAGAGGGAAATGTCGATAGGAGTTTTTTGGCCACCGACTACTGGGCAGCGTAGACTTTTTGGCTGCTTATTCATCAGCCTGGCTTCATTTAGGGAAAATAATTTTTGGTCGAACGAAGTGTTGAAATTCGTTTTCAGGATTTTTAGATTATTCTGTAGCGGTTTTGTTACTACGTTGGAATAATGATCAAAACATTGTGACTCCAAGTATTTTATATTATTTTTGCTGACGGAATTTGGCAATTTCAACAAAAATGTAGTTTTGGTCGACTTGTTTAGTGTTCTTCAGTGCTTCTGTCAGTATTAAATAATGTTGCTGGGGAAGCCATTGTATCTATGTAAATTACCTTGTCTGGGTAGAAGGTATTATCCTTACTTTACTGACATTTCTTGGGTTACATTTTAATGAGACTGAATTTATATTGCATCTGTGTCTTAGACGTGATAGATTGTGTGTATGTGCGTGTTGTGTAGCATTCTGTTTTATTGAAAGCCTTAAGAACATCTTACACTGAATTATTTAAATACTGAGTGATGAAAGCATCTGCTTTTTGCAGTACCCAGAAACCAACTGCAATCAGTGGCAGCTGCTTGTAAAGTCCTGATTGAATTCTCACTGCTGCGTCTTGAGAACCCAGACGAAGCGTGTGCTGTTTCACAGGTGAGCGCGGGTTTTGGCCGTGTGGAGTGCAAGCTGGAGTGCAAAAATGGACTTTGGCCTCTAATTCTGAAATATTTGCTCTTATGTTACCTAAAACAAAATTACTGAAGTTCTTAAATATACTTGAGATGTAGCGCTTCGGTAGAGACAGATACCTGCCGGATCTTCTGTGTTCTTGTTGTCTGGAGACAAGCTCTGAAGAAAAGGATCTGGGGGTCCTGGTGGACAACAAAATGACAACGAGCAAGCAGTGTGCTCTTGTGGCCAGGAGGGCCAACGGAGTCCTGGGCTGCATACGGAAAAGTGTGGCCAGCAGGTCAAGGGAGGGCATTCTGCCCCTCTGCTCTGCACTGAGGAGGCCACAACTGGAATCCTGCATCCAGTTCTGGGCTCCCCAGTTCAAGAGGGACAGGGAACTGCTGGAAAGAGTCCAGCATAGGGCTACAAAGATGATTCAAGGACTGGAGCATCTCCCTGATGAGGAGAGGCTGAAAGAGCTGGGACTCTTTAGTCTGGAGAAAAGAAGGCTGAGGGGAGACCTTATCAATGCCTACAAGTATCTCAAGGGCGGGCTGAGGGAGGAGGGAGCCAGACTCTTTTCAGTGGTTGCCAGTGAGAGGACGAGGGGCAACGGGCACAAGTTGGAACATAAGAGGTTCCACTTGAATATGAGGAAGAACTTTTTCATGGTGAGGGTGGCAGAGCCCGGGAAGAGGCTGCCCAGGGAGGGTGTGGAGTCCCCTTCTCTGGAGATTTTCAAGACCTGCCTGGATGCTCCTGAGTAACATGCTCTGACAAGCTCTGGGTGGTCCTGCTTCAGCAGGGGAGTTGGACTGGATGATCTCTATGGTCCCTTCCAACTCTAAAAATTCAGTGAAATTCAGTGGAATGTACCCTTGTGAACAAGCCCAAGTAAAGGTGGCCTGAAGCCTTGCTTAAGCAGATCTCAGTTAAATCTGTTGTGGTTCCTATAGTCTGAATTGGTTTTGTGCAACAACCTGGATCAAAACTGTTCTGTCGCCCATTTGTTGAGTTTTTAAAGATGAATTCTTCCCCCGTTGTATTTTAGTCTTCTAGGAAGGCTAAATGACTTCCTTCAAAGAGGAAGGACATGTGAAAAGTGTTCACGTAGTGTAGCTGTTGAGAGAGCTGGCTTTAAGCCTCAGTGTGTCATAGGAGGGAGAGCTTTTCCAGATGCTTTTCCATAAAAAGCACATGGGACAGTGTTAGCGACCTAAATTATCTGCAGTTAATGTGCCATCACAATCTTAGGCATGAGATCAGAGTGGATTTGAGACGTTGCGGTACTGAAGTTGCAGTACTCTTAATGCAGCTGCTTAGAATAAATGATATTGAGGAATAACTGGAATCAAGAGACTTTAAATTGTACTTGGTGTCTTTGTCTTTGTAGAAACACCTCATTCTCCTGATAAAGGGGCTGTGCACGGGCTGTAGCCGCTTAGATCGAACTGAAATTATTACCTTCACCGCGATGATGAAATCGGCCAAGCTGCCTCAGACTGTCAAAACCCTCTCTGATGGTAGGTGTTTTAATTTATGGTTATGCCACTGCGGCACTGGAGGTAAGCACAGAAAATACTATGGCTTTGATATATGAAATGATGTTCTGCGGTTTCCCCTGCAGTAGAGGACCAGAAGGAGCTGGCCTCCCCGGTGAGCCCAGAACTGAGACAGAAAGAAGTGCAGATGAACTTCCTCAATCAGTTGACGTCGGTCTTTAACCCTAGAGCCTCGTCGTCACCATCTATAATGCCAGAGGCACAGGTAAGCAAACAGCCCTAGAATCGAAGCAGTCTGAATTTTAGCATTAATGACTTTGGTGCTGGCAAGGGCAGAGGGCAGTAAGTGGTAGTTTTTTAATACACATGTGTAAGGAAAACCATTCTGAAGTATTTAAATCCTGCTTGCATGTTGATGAATGGGATTGTGTTGGCAACAGTAGTTTTGCTGCCTCGTGGAAGCTAATGTTCAGTGATATTCATAGCTCTTTTGAGGGTAGAGACTTACTGTGATAATGTGGATTTTTAATGCTTCCATGGTCTATTTACTCTGTGCTTGCTTGTAGGTGGAAGGAGAGAGCGAGGATCAAGGTTCCACAGATCAAACCTCTGCGGCAAAGACGAAAAGCATATTCATTGCTCAGAACGTAGCCAGCCTACAAGAACTTGGTGAGAATCAGCTTTTTAGCATCAGGGGAAAAAAATACTAGAGCAAATGACTTTCCAGAGTTACACCTTACAGCTCTGAATGGGAAGAAACTTTCTGACCTAAAGCATTTGTTCTTTCGGGCTGACTCGGTTGCCGATGTTACCAAGGGAGGTTGTGGCTGTAGTGTAGTTTTCTTCATTGCAGAGGAGATGAGCTCGGTGTATTTGTGTGCAGTAGGTTTGTTTTAGGGGGGGGGGAAAGGTGGGATGATGTAAAATAGCCTGTGGGATGGATTACTGGGCAGGTGTGAACTAGACCTGCTGTGCCACATGATATACACACAGAGCTTTGTGACACCCGTTACGAGTACTGGCTGTAAACTTCACCGGCTGCTTTGTGTGTTGTAAACTAGTCTTTATCCTATTACCTCATCTGTGATGATATTTTCTCACCACCAAGAACAATTAAACCAATTACTGATGACCGTTAGATCTGTTCTGCTTAGAAGCTGTGCCATGGAAGAGTAAAGCTAACGCTGCTGGTTTTGTTTGGTAGGTGGCTCTGAAAAACTGCTGAGAGTGTGCCTGAACCTCCCGTACTTCTTGAGATACATAAATCGATTCCAGGACGCGGTGTCGGCCAACTCCTTTTTTATTATGCCGGCCACAGTGGCAGATGCCACCGCTGTTCGCAACGGGTAAGAGTCTGTCATCGCTCTTCTTTGGGAAATGCTGGCTAGATGAGAGAAAATAACCAGGCAGTATCAGTTATTGTCCTGCTCCTGTGAGCTGTCCTTTTCAATGCATTCATCAATGACCTGGGTGAAGGGATGGAATGTACCCTCAGCACATTTGATGATGAAGCAAAACTGGGAGGGGTGGCTGACACATCAGAACACTGTGCTGCCATCCAGTGAGACTGGGACAGGCTGGGGAGTTGGGCAGAGAGGAACGCACCGGAACACTGTGCTGCCATCCAGGGAGACCGGGACAGGCTGGGGAGCTAGGCAGAGAGAAACTTGATGAAATTCAACAAGGGCAAGTGCAGGGTGCTGCACCTGGGGAGGATTAACCCCCTGCACCAGCACAGGTTGGGAGGGACCTACTGGAGAGCAGCTCTGAGGAGAAAGACATGGGAGTCTTGGTGGATAATAGGATGCCCAGGAGCCAGCAATGGGCCCTGGTGGCCAAGAAGGCCAATGGCATCCTGGGGGGCATGAAGAAGAGTGTGAGCAGCAGGTGGAGGGAGGTCATCCTGCCCCTCTGCTCTGCCCTGGGGAGGCCCCATCTGGAGCACTGGGACCAGTTCTGGGCTGCCCAGTTCCAGAAGGACAGGGAACTGCTGGAGAGGGTCCACCAGAGGCTACACAGATGCTGAGGGGCCTGGAGCATCTCTGTGCTGAGGAAAGGCTGAGGGACTTGGGTCTGTTCAGTCTGGAGAAGAGAAGACTCAGGGGGGATCTGATCAACGCCTCTAAATCCTTCAAGGGTGGGTGTCAGGAGGATGGGGCCAGGCTTTTTCCAGTGGTGCCCAGGGACAGGACAAGAGGAAAAGGGCACAAACTTGAACATGGGAAGTTCCATCTAAACATGAGAAGGAACTTGTTTGCTGTGAGGGTGGCAGAGCCCTGGCAGAGGCTGCCCAGAGAGGTGGTGGAGTCTCCTTCTCTGGAGACATTCCAACCCCCCCTGGACACGTTCCTGTGGGACCTGCTCTGGGTGACCCTGCCTGGTGTGTACATCGTGTTGCTGAACACGTGTTGTTCCTGTAGGTTTCATCTGGTGTGTACATCGCGTTGCTGAACACGTGTTGTTCCTGTAGGTTTCATTCACTGGTGATAGATGTGACCATGGCACTGGACACTCTGTCTCTGCCTGTATTGGAGCCCCTGACACCCACACGACTCCAAGATGTGACTGTTCTTGCTCTCAGCTGTCTCTATGCAGGTGAATGGATTTCCTATTATTTCTTTGAGCTTTAAGTCACTCTCACTTCTGCTGGGCCTTGTTACCTGCACGTTTGAGGCTCAGCCCACAAGTAACCTTTATTCCTCATGAATTTGTAAGCCGTGCAGCGTACTGTACAGAATGGTGACTGGCTTAATGTGAAAATAGTTATAGTGACACTGAAATACCGATGTATTCTGCAAATGTTCTTGTCCCTATCTGAAAGAAAGACTGAGTGACTCAACATCTTCTTAATAGCCTGTCATTTCTGCTCTTTTTTTATGTTCAGAGCAGAATACTTTTTTGCAATGCTTATGGCTTCAGCTTAATTGGTTATACCCCCAAATCAACCTGGTTTCCCAGGAGTGGTTTTAGTTCACCAGAATCCTGAGTGTTTAATTGGTATGGGTAAGATTTTAAAGAGATGGCAGGCAGTGTGAAGATTGCCTTAAAAATGATATTGAATTACGTGGTAAAACATTTCCTCCTTTAATTGTTCTCACGTGTTTCTGAAGAACAAAACCTGACTCTTTTGAGGGTACTTCAGAAAGGCTTTTTTGATCTGTCAGCTGTAATATTGAGTATTCCCAGCTCCATCAAGTTCATGGACATGTTCGATACTGTTTGTTTTAATGTGCTAAGAAGGAACATTGAGTCCCGAGATCAGCTCTTAATAAGGACGTTTCCTCCCCTTGTTTTCCATCAGGTGTGAGTGTGGCAACCTGCATGGCCATCCTCCATGTGGGTAGCACTCAGCAGGTACGAACTGGGTCAACAAGTTCCAAAGAAGAAGATTATGAAAATGATGCTGCTACTATTGTACAGAAATGTGTAAGTAGAGGAGAGAGCTTGTCGTTTTCATTCTTGGCAAGTGAAGTGCTTAGAATTGGTATTTATTCAGATTGGTGTATATATCTATTATTTATAGGCGTTAAACTTGCTGACGAAAGAAGTAATGGGGTGATTAATTGTAGAGGGCAAAACACAACTGTATTTGGAGTGTTCGTTTTTATTATTGCCCAGTGGAGCCCTTAAACATGACCATGGTTTTGAACTTATTTGCAGCTTGAAATCTATGAAATGATTGGACAAGCCATCAGCAACTCGCGTCGTGCCGGGGGCGAGGTAAGATTTGCATCTCGGGAAGCTTTTTCACTCTATTTGTGCTGGTGTATTTCGGCGTTTGGATTGACACTATTTTGTCTTTTTTGGTGCTTTTTTTTCACCCCCGACTTCGCTTTTGGGATGATAGCATTATCAGAACTTCCAGCTGCTCGGCAGAGCCCTTAAACATTACCATGGTTTTGGATTTATTTGCAGCTTGAAATCTATGAAATGATTGGACAAGCCATCAGCAACTCGCGTCGTGCCGGGGGCGAGGTAAGATTTGCATCTCGGGAAGCTTTTTCACTCTATTTGTGCTGGTGTATTTTGGCATTTGGATTGACACTATTTTGTCTTTTTGGTGCTTTTTTTTTTCCCCCCGACTTCGCTTTTGGGATGATAGCATTATCAGAACTTCCAGCTGCTCGGGGCTTGGTGTTTGCTGAACAGCCTCTTCCTCATCTTGAACCTCAGCCCCACGGCCTTGGCTGATAAGGGAAAGGAGAAAGATCCTTTGGCTGCTCTTCGCGTCAGAGACATCATCGCTCGTACTAAGGAGGGCGTTGGGTCTCCCAAACTAGGACCTGGGAAAGGGTATGTAATTACCCCACTGAAGGAATCACTGTCCTGCTGGTGTGTCTAACCAAGCCCAGCAAGCAACTGCTGTGGGGTCTTGTTTGGTCTCTTGAAATTTTATCTCCATTTGTAATTCAAGTCTTGATTCTTGGAAAGAAGACAAGTCATCTTTTTCAGTTTAGCAAAGCAGTCCCTTTATTCAACTGAATATATATCTATATTATTTTTCCCCTGAAGTTACATGGTATCCTTTGTTTCTGTAGGCACCAGGGGTTTGGTGTTCTCTCAGTGGTGCTGGCAAATCACGCTATCAAATTGCTGTCATCGCTCTTTCAAGATCTGCAAGTGGAGGCATTGCACAAGGTATATAGGGAGCACGCATGCTGTTGTGAAACACTTTGCCTTCTCCACTGAAACACACTTTAGTTTTTATCAGTTTAGCAAAGCAGTCCCTTCATTCAACTGAATATATTTCTATATGGTGCTGGTCTCTTCTCACAGGTAATTAGTGACAGAACGAGAGGGAACGGCTTCAAGCTCCAACAGGGGAGGTTTAGATTGACCATTAGGAAGGAATTTTTCACTGAAAGAGTGGTCGGACATTGGAATAGGTTCCTGCTGGTGTGTCTAACCAAGCCCAGCAAGCAACTGCTGTGGGGTCTTGTTTGGTCTCTTGAAATTTTATCTCCATTTGTAATTCAAGTCTTGATTCTTGGAAAGAAGACAAGTCATCTTTTTCAGTTTAGCAAAGCAGTCCCTTTATTCAACTGAATATATATCTATATTATTTTTCCCCTGAAGTTACATGGTATCCTTTGTTTCTGTAGGCACCAGGGGTTTGGTGTTCTCTCAGTGGTGCTGGCAAATCACGCTATCAAATTGCTGTCATCGCTCTTTCAAGATCTGCAAGTGGAGGCATTGCACAAGGTATATAGGGAGCGTGCATGTTATTGTGAAACACTTTGCCTTCTCCACTGAAACAAACTTTAAATTCTCTTTTCACTGCTGCCCTCCAGGGCTGGGAGAGTGACGGGCCGCCAGCGGTGCTGGATATCATGGCTCAGAGCACATCCATCCAGAGGATTCAGCGGCTGATCGATTCTGTGCCGCTCACTAATTTGCTGCTGACTTTGCTGTCTACTTCTTACAGAAAGGTAAGGACTGCCAGACAGCAGGAGAGCTTCTCTGGCTGCCCCACTCCCCCTACTCCGCATAGAAAATTCTCTCTTTACAAACTGTGACTACACTAAGAAGAATTTAGAATTCTTCTTTCAGAAGCTGTCGACTGGGGCCTCTCTTTTTCCTCTTCTCAGAGGTGTAAATCTGACAAACTTGTTCTAAGAAAAATGTTTTGTAAGTTCATAGTTATTTGTGAGTTTAGTGAGAAGATGCAAAGATCATATTTAAACCAAATGCCTTTATGTTAGAGCTGTTACTTGAAGTGTTGCCTAAATGCTTGGCATAGATTATTTATTTTCAATCACCCTGCGCGATTTTTAATACAACTTAAGGGTGAGAAGCCTTGAAAAACTATTAATAAATTAATTGAGTCAAATTTGCTAGTTGAAAATTAGAATGTTAGATACTCTATAGTTTTCAGATTCTTACCTTTCATAATGCTAAAATTTAACTCATTCTGCTGTTTTCCTAAGGCCTGTGTCTTGCAGCGTCAGAGAAAGGGCTCCATGAGCAGCGACGCAAGTGCCTCCACCGATTCCAACACTTACTACGAGGATGATTTTAGCAGCACCGAGGAGGACAGCAGCCAAGGTAAGAGAGTTTGAAGGAAGCAACTTAAGTCAGGATTTTATGTTGTCTTTCAGCTTTAGTGGAAACCCGGCTACTGGGCTTTTGCCTTTTTGGACTGGAACGTCATATAATGTTGAAAATATGAAACAGTTTGTAAGATCTGTTTGGCAGAAGTAATGCTGACTGTACTCTTTTATGTAAACTAAAGCCAGAGCGGCTGGGATTTGGCAGTATTTCCTTAAGAGGAGAGTGGAAATAATTTCTTCTTGTGAATTCCTGCTGGACTGCTGTAGAAGTGATGTGCTTTGGAAAAGAATAATGAAGATAGCAGACAGCTGTGCTCACTGAAACTCTTTTTCAGGCTTTTTCTAAGCCGAGTAGTCAGCGTACTTAATTGCTTGTAACAGTATGCTTTTGTTTTTCCTGCCTCCTGTGTTAGACGACGATAGCGAACCAATCCTTGGGCAATGGTTTGAAGAGACAATCTCTCCAAGCAAAGAGAAGGTGGCGCCCCCACCACCCCCTCCCCCCCCCCCTTTGGAGAGCTCACCCAGGGTGAAGAGCCCTAACAAACAGACTGCTGGGGAGAACGGGAACATCCTGGCCAGCCGCAAAGACCCAGAATTGGTATGGGATGTTCTGCAGGCTTACAATGAAGTAACTGGCCAGCTGTAGCATTGTTTACGTGTCAGTGGCTCACCACATTGACAGATGACATGATAAATGTCAGGTATTTCAGTACGTTGCTGATGGAGAATCAGTGACTGTACTGGCTTTGAATAAAGAAGTTGTCTCTACTCTTCCCCCAGGTGAAATATCACTGTATTTGTTACCTCCAGGTAACGTTTAGATTGACCATTAGGAAGGAATTTTTCACTGAAAGAGTGGTCGGGCATTGGAACAGGCTGCCCAGGGAGGGGGTGGAGTCACCGTCCCTGGCTGTGTTTAAGGGCCGTTTAGATGCAGTGCTGAGGGACATGGTGTAGGGGAGGACTTTGTAGAGTAGGGGAGATGGTTGGACTCGATCCCAAGGGTCTCTTCCAACCTGAACGATTCTATGATTCTATCATTCTATATTATTTTTCCCCTGATGTTACATGGTATCCTTTATGTTTCTGTAGGCACCAGGGGTTTGGTGTTCTCTCAGTGGTGCTGGCAAATCACGCTATCAAATTGCTGTCATCCCTTTTTCAAGATCTGCAAGTGGAGGCATTGCACAAGGTATATAGGGAGCGTGCATGTTATTGTGAAACACTTTGCCTTCTCCACTGAAACAAACTTTAAATTCTCTTTTCACTGCTGCCCTCCAGGGCTGGGAGAGTGACGGGCCGCCAGCGGTGCTGGATATCATGGCTCAGAGCACATCCATCCAGAGGATTCAGCGGCTGATCGATTCTGTGCCGCTCACTAATTTGCTGCTGACTTTGCTGTCTACTTCTTACAGAAAGGTAAGGACTGCCAGACAGCTGGAGAGCTTCTCTGGCTGCCCCACTCCCCCTACTCCGCATAGAAAATTCTCTCTTTACAAACTGTGACTACACTAAGAAGAATTTAGAATTCTTCTTTCAGAAGCTGTCGACTGGGGCCTCTCTCTTTCCTCTTCTCAGAGGTGTAAATCTGACAAACTTGTTCTAAGAAAAATGTTTTGTAAGTTCATAGTTATTTGTGAGTTTAGTGAGAAGATGCGAAGATCATATTCAAACCAAATGCCTTTATGTTAGAGCTGTTACTTGAAGTGTTGCCTAAATGCTTGGCATAGATTATTTATTTTCAATCACCCTGCGCGATTTTTAATACAACTTAAGGGTGAGAAGCCTTGAAAAACTATTAATAAATTAATTGAGTCAAATTTGCTAGTTGAAAATTAGAATGTTAGATACTCTATAGTTTTCAGATTCTTACCTTTCATAATGCTAAAATTTAACTCATTCTGCTGTTTTCCTAAGGCCTGTGTCTTGCAGCGTCAGAGAAAGGGCTCCATGAGCAGCGACGCAAGTGCCTCCACCGATTCCAACACTTACTACGAGGATGATTTTAGCAGCACCGAGGAGGACAGCAGCCAAGGTAAGAGAGTTTGAAGGAAGCAACTTAAGTCAGGATTTTATGTTGTCTTTCAGCTTTAGTGGAAACCCGGCTACTGGGCTTTTGCCTTTTTGGACTGGAACGTCATATAATGTTGAAAATATGAAACAGTTTGTAAGATCTGTTTGGCAGAAGTAATGCTGACTGTACTCTTTTATGTAAACTAAAGCCAGAGCGGCTGGGATTTGGCAGTATTTCCTTAAGAGGAGAGTGGAAATAATTTCTTCTTGTGAATTCCTGCTGGACTGCTGTAGAAGTGATGTGCTTTGGAAAGGAATAATGAAGATAGCAGACAGCTGTGCTCACTGAAACTCTTTTTCAGGCTTTTTCTAAGCCGAGTAGTCAGCGTAGGTAATTGCTTGTAACATTATGCTTTTGTTTTTCCTGCCTCCTGTGTTAGACGACGATAGCGAACCAATCCTTGGGCAATGGTTTGAAGAGACAATCTCTCCAAGCAAAGAGAAGGTGGCACCCCCACCACCCCCTCCACCCCCACCTTTGGAGAGCTCACCCAGAGTGAAGAGCCCTAACAAACAGACTGCTGGGGAGAACGGGAACATCCTGGCCAGCCGCAAAGACCCAGAATTGGTATGGGATGTTCTGCAGGCTTACAATGAAGTAACTGGCCAGCTGTAGCATTGTTTACGTGTCAGTGGCTCACTACATTGACAGATGACATGATAAATGTCAGGTATTTCAGCATGTTGCTGATGGAGAATCAGTGACTGTCCTGGCTTTGAATAAAGAAGTTGTCTCTACTCTTCCCCCAGGTGAAATATCACTGTATTTGTTACCTCCAGGTAACAAAGGCTGAAGATAGTATCTGTTTGGGTTACAGAGGGAGAGGGAAAATGAGGGCAGAACTATAAGCTGATGGAGTGCTTTTAGCTCCAGCCCTGTTGGGTAAAGACAAGAATAAATAATGCAGTTGAGAAGTTAGAGACTTGCAGCCTTTTCAGAGAATTGTCCTGGTACAGAGTGCAGGGAGCTGGGTGGCAATGAGTGAGCCTGTGCTCTGCTGCTGGGGCTGGAGTTGGGGGGCTTGATTTATTTCACTTGTGGTTTAGTTTTTGTTTGATGTTGTTTTACAGTCCCTCTGCTTTTGTTGTTTCTATAGTGCGTTTCTCTTTTCTTTTCAGTTTTTGAGCCTAGCTTCAAACATTTTGAACTTTATCACTTCTTCTATGCTGAACTCCAGGAATAACTTCATTCGCAACTACCTGAGTGTGTCTCTCTCGGAGCAGCACATGGCTACACTGGCCAGCATCATCAAAGAGGTGGACAAGGATGGGCTTAAGGGTGAGTGAGCAGAGCTTCTCTGTTGGAGAACACAGTCTGTGGAATTTATAGATGTATGTTTTCTTAGTTTCATGTGGAAATTTGAAATGTAGGAGAGCAATGGCAGTAAATGACTTGATCCCCATCTTACAGGCACGTCAGATGAGGAGTTTGCTGCTGCACTGTATCACTTCAACCATTCCTTGGTGACCTCAGATCTTCAGTCCCCTGCCTTGCAGGTAAGTCCATGGTTGAATGTATAAATAAATGAAGAAGTGTTGGTGTCTGCTAATGTCTCTACACGGACTCACCACACCTAGAGTAGTGTGTTGATGGTTCCCTTTGGCACTAGAGTATATTCTTCTGCAAACAGAGCTTGGAATATTTTGGATCTAATGAGCTGGATGACCTCTGCAGTTATCCAGTACAAAAAGTCCTGTAGAGTGTAAACTTAATGTTTAGAGTTCAAATTAACCCACTGAACTTCGAAGGTGATGAAAGCTGAGAAGGAAATGAGTTTGTGTATTTTGTTTTGGAGAGTTGCCTCTATCCATGCCTTTATCAAGGGGCATTCCTGCAGATTTGCTTTGCTGTCAGGACAGATGCCAAAAGGCCTTGGAATTCTCTGAGGAGAGAATCAAATTAATCCTTTTGCTTTAATGTGCTGACTTTGTAGCCTCTAGGCTTCTTTGCTAGGTCATGGGCTGACTCGACTTAACACTGTAAGTAGAGGTTATAAATCTGCTTACCAATCAGTGAATTCAGTCCCTATGCTTTTCATTAACTGTTTTCTACTATATTTAAAATACTATGGTGTTTTGGTGTTTTTAAAGCAGTTGGGCTTTTCAGAAATGGGTCTTTTTACTATATTTGAAAAGAAACAGGCATCACTGTCATCAAAGGGGTCATCTCCCAAATTCTTGGATACAGAAGATAGTAGCATAATCTCTTCTTTTGGGATCTTGCAATAAATGAGTAGAGCTCAGAAATGCCTTTTTTTCTGCATTGGTGTTTAAGTTGAAAGTTTGTTGTGTTTTAGGTGGCAATGGGAGAACAGAAGTATCGCTCAGTAGCTGTATCATTCGTTAGGGATAGGAGAAATGCTGCTGTATGAACCCTACTGTTTATTTTCATCTGTATGTTTAAATCACACTATTAATTAGAGCATCAAGACTTGCCTCTTTTCAAGAAGTCTCTGTTTTGTTCCAGAACACACTTCTTCAGCAGCTGGGAGTCGCCCCTTTTTCTGAAGGTCCGTGGCCTCTCTACATCCATCCGCAAAGTTTGTCGGTGCTCTCGCGACTTCTCCTGATTTGGCAGCATAAAGCCTCTGCCCAGGGAGATCCTGACGTTCCAGAATGCCTTAAAGTTTGGGAAAGGTGAGATAATTTTATATTAAGCTAAAAGGCAGTCATCTCTCTCATGTTTTCTATCAAGTGAAAATTCTCTGGGACCAGTGTGACAAGTATGGGGGTGTTCCCTGAGCGGTGATGGTACACGATGCTCGGAGGAGCAGAGGGTCAGTTGCTGGATTCCTTCACTAGAGCATAGGAAATGAAACCTCGAATCAGGATTTAAGTGGGTGGAGGCTGAATTACTTGCAGCAGTGCTGGTTTTAAAAAGGGAAGGTGAATGTCTGATTTCAGTAGGTTTCTGGTAGGTTCTGTTATGATGGTGCCAAGATTTTTCCTCTCTGTGCCATTACCTGAATGTGAAAGTCTCTGACAGGGTTTGGATGACTTCAAGCTTTTCCTGGGGGAACAAAAGTCTGCATCCCCCTTTCTCCCTTTGAAGGATTGTTCATATTTTCCATCAAATGTATTTGCCAGTAACTGAATTTCTGTAGGTTTTACTGTTTGCATAGTCTCGTTCCAGTACATAATATAGTTAATAATGTATGAAATTGCCACTATTAGAAGAATAAGCAGAAAAATATAATTAAGATGTTTCTCTTATCTCTGGTCAAAGAGCTTTTAAAGATGGCTCTAAGTTTACAAACTTCTCTCCTACTGCCAGGTTTGTGGGCACACTGAAGCAAAATGCCTTGCAGGGGACTCTTCCCAGCGACACAGAAGATCTGAATGTTGAACATCTCCAGCTGCTGCTGCTTATTTTTCACAATTTCTCTGAGAGGGGCCGCAGATCCATCATGATGCTCTGTATCCAGACAATTGTGGAGCTGACGGTGAACATGGATACCCAGCAGTGTTCTGTGCCACTGATTGTGGCACGTCTGCTCTTGGTGTTTGACTACTTGCTCCATCAGTATTCCAAGGCCCCCATGTACCTATTTGAACAGGTAAGATTTGGAGATCGTGTTCCAGATATTTAATTGATCACCTGGCAGAAACCTGTAACAATTATTTGCTGTGTTCTGGTGTCTTCATGACCTTTGCAAGTAAATGGGTTTTGATGTTGTTGGCAGCCTTTTTGGAGTTACAATGCGTGCTTAACAGCAGCAGGTTCAGTTTGAGTGTAAATTCCTTGTGTAACTAGTGTCCCAATAAATCCTGGGTCAATTTAGGACAGAGTGAATGCCTCACCTTATCTTTCAAAATCTAAAGTATTCAGGTATTTAGTCACCATTTCACAAATACCTTGTAGGCCCTGTCCTTGCTTTAGCTTCTCACTGTGGAGGTTTTTGGCACTGTTCTCATGAGTGGGATGCTTGTGTTTTGTGTGGGGCTTTTTTGGTTGTTAGAAGCTTGACAATTGATTTAAGTTGCTCACTCCAGATTAGAAATCATCAGGTAGGGGCCAGGGCTTCCCTCATAAACTGGGATGCTTGTGTTTTAGCAATTGGCTTGTTTGTATTTTATGGTTCTTTTTCTGTTGGTGGTGGTGTTTTTCCCTGCTACCCCTTACTGACAAGGATGACATGGGTGGTTTTTTGGGTTTTTTTTCAAACTTAGGTACAATATAATTTGCTGACTCCACCCATTGGCTGGGTGAGTGGATCCCAGGACAGTAGCAGAAGAACCTCTGTCCCAATTTATCATGGCTTTAAAGAAGTGGAAGAAAACTGGACCAAACACTGTTCATCAGGTACGAAAGAAAACATAAGAAATTTTTTATTCCAAGATTTCTTTTAGAAATAAATGAGAGCTGTTCCTGCGCTCTGGTGTGGGTAGCTCTTCCTGCTTTTAATGAGCATAATTACAATGGACAGATAAAAATGCATGTAATGCAAGAAGTGTTTTATTAAACAGAATTATTGTAGGAGTATGCTACGAGTAATTAAAAATGAATGTGTATATCTTATGATTGTATGAGTTGGAAAACCTTGGCTGTGTATACCATGGTTAAAAGCATGTATAATCTGTCTTGGAGCTGGCTTGGTAGAATCTGGTATTAGTCTTAAATGTGAAGGGGTGTGGGGAGGGAGGAGAGAGGATAACTCAATACTGTGCCATTGAAACTGTTATTTTGACCATTATTTTCTGTCCTCCTGTTCCAGATGCAGTTCCACAGCCCAGGTTCTACTGCATCCTATCTCAAGAAGCTTCTGAAGATGATCTGAACCGTCTGGATAGCACGGTATTGGGATTTCTGTTTTAAAAACCTTTCTGTAAGCCTTGAGGACCATGTTGATTTGACAAGTTTCAGTGAAAATAGACAAGATGAAAAGTCTCAGTGAAGCAGATAGAGCAGAAATATTTCACCAAGTAGAGAAAAGAGTAGTGGTACCCAACAGAACTAATTTATCGAAGTTTTATTTTGCGTGGTTTTGGTCTGTGTGTATTCTGAATACTTAAGAGAAGAGCTTGACTGTATATAAATGCAGAGCTGTGCAATTTGCAAAGCAGTGATCCTGACTTGTCATCTCTTGCAGGTTTGTGAGGTCCTTTTCTCTAGGACTATGAAGTATGACGAGCTTTACACAGCCCTGACTTCGTTGCTTGCAGCCGGGTCACAGTTTGATACACTTAGGAGGAAAGAGAACAAAAGTGTCACTGCACTGGTGAGGCTGTGTTGCTGTAATGTTGGCTGTGTTGAGGAATAACAGGTTTTCAAGCAAAGTATTTAACCAAAATATTCTCAGCAGTGGTTGGAGTACTGGGGAACTTAAAACACCCATAGTGTTTATGGTCGTGGTACATCTCATACGAGTTTTTAATTCGTAACATGTTTTAGACTTGATATATGTCCCTGGTAATTCCAGGAGGTCTGGCTAGAATATGATAAGGCAGAAAAAAATTGTATAATCTTTCCTTTATTTTTTTTTCCCCTCACTCCTCTCTGTTGCATAATTTCTTGTAGAATGTGACAGAGACTCAGTCCAGTAGGCGTTCATGTGATTTGGCACATCTGCAGGAGTCTAGAGTCTCCGATGAGACAATTTCAGTAGCTGTAATGACTGAAACTACAGGTTTTCTTTAATAATTTGTCCAACTGTACTCCTGTTTAGGAAGCCTGTGCACTTCAGTACTACTTCTTGATACTGTGGCGGATATTGGGGATTTTACCTCCATCCAAAAACTACATGAATCAGCTGGCTATGAACACGCCAGAGATGAGTGAGTGTGATATTTTACACACATTGCGCTGGTCCTCCCGTCTGCGCATCACGTCTTACGTCACCTGGATCAAGGTACAGCCCCATCTCTATAGGGGCGTTTTGTGATGTTGTTTGATAGTAAAAATATCAGTCTCTTCTTCCGTGCTGGCTGCGTGTGGAATTTGTTCTGTGGGCATGGTGGGGAGAAATGGGAAGTTGGGTTTGTGTTTTCTAAATTGTTCTAGTCTGGTAATTGGCCGAGTGGTTAATTATAGAGCACTTCTAAAGTGTGACAAGTCTTTCTTTGGTGCCTGTAGGATCACCTTACCAAGCAGGGCATGAAAGCTGACCACGCTGCTTCTCTCATTGAACTGGCCTCCAGCAAGTGCAGCTCAGTGAAGTATGATGTGGAGATAGCAGAGGAATACTTTGCTCGACAGGTAAGGTGGTGTCGGTGCCATTGTGCACATGGAGCTTCTGTTTCTGTGGAATGATTTGAACTTACTGTTCCATCCCTTTCTATTTGAAGATCTCTTCTTTCTGCGGTGTTGATTGCACAACTATTCTCCAACTGCACGAAGTTCCCAGTTTACAGTCCATTTACACACTTGATGCTGCAATTTCCAAGATTCAGGTTTCTCTAGATGAGCACTTTTCCAAGCTGGCTGCAGAGACTGATCCACACAAGTCTTCAGAGATAACCAAGAACCTCCTGCCTGCTACGCTCCAGCTTATTGACACTTATGCTACATTTACCAGGTAAAGTCAACAGAATTGGGAGGAGATTGTCCCTCTGTACTTGGAACTGGGGAGGCACCACCTCGAGGGCCGTGTCCAATTTTGGGCCCCTTAACACAAAAAAGACATTGAGGGGCTGGAGTGGGTTCAGAGAAGGGCAACGGAGCTGGTGAGGGGTCTGGAGCACAAGTCTTATGAGGAGAGGCTGAGGGAGCTGGGGGGGGTTCAGCCTGGAGGAGGCTGAGGGGAGACCTTATTGCTCTCTCCAACTCCCTGAAAGGAGGGTGTAGCCAGGGGGGGTCGGTCTCTTCTCCCAAGGAACAGGCGATGGGACAAGAGGAAATGGCCTCAAGTTGCACCAGGGGAGGTTCAGGTTGGAGATTAGGAACAATGTTTCCACAGAAAGGGTTCTTGTGCCTTGGAATGGGCTGCCCAGGGAAGCGGTTGAGGCCCCATCCCTGGAGATATTTAAGAGATGGGTTGACATGGTGCTTAGAGACATGGTTTAGTGATGGTTTTTATTAGGGTTAGGCTTATGGTCAGACTGGATAATCTTAAGGGTCCCTTCCAACCTGGACAATTCTATGATTCTATGAGTACAATTTTCTTCTGTGCATAGGGCTTTCTTTGCATTTTGTTTGTTGTTTTCTTATAGGAAAAAGTGAAATGAAAGAATTATCTTTTTTTCCCAGAGCCTTACTCAAAAATATCATAAAGAAAATAGTTGTTGGCGCTGCAGAGAAGTTGAGAAGCCATTCTGTGTGACAGCCTGGCTGTCTAGGAAAGCTGTTGTAGCTGTATATGTACAAAAGTAATGTGTAGAGTTTTCCAAATGAGGACCATTCTTCTGAGGGAAAAAATGGCTTGGTCAGTGTATTTGTCCTGGCTTTCTAAAGAGTTTTTATCACAGAATTCCATCCAGGCTCGTGCCTTACTTGTCTGACTTCTGATTCATCCAGTAAAGATGTTCTTTGATACGTCCTACGGAGACTTAACTTGTTTCCTTTTCTTTTCCAGCTGGTCGGATGATTTGAACCCGCCACAGGTGATTCATTCCCTGTTGCCTCTCCTTTTGGAGACCAGCACGGAGAGCGTGGCAGAGATAAGCAGCAATTCCCTGGAACGGATCTTGGGCCCTGCAGAGTCAGATGAATTCCTGGCACGTGTCTATGAGAAGCTGATCACTGGATGCTACAACATACTGGCCCATCACTCCGACCCAAACAGGTGAGGGGCTCCGTGGCTCATAGTTTTCCAACAAAGCTATATACAAAGAATTACTACAGTGTGTTTAAACATTGGTGTCTGTTCTTGAAGAGACAACAGAAAGGTGAAAAATCAGCTTATTTTTATCTGTTGAAGACTCCTGTAGTTGTAGACTAAAAATACCCAGATATTATATTCATGTTAAAACAATTTTCAGCACTGCTGTTCAGGCAGTGTGGATTTTAATCATCTCTGTAACTCTGGATAGAGCAACTCTATATTAGGATATGGGTTTTTTTTATTTAAGCAAATAGAAAATTATGTAAATACAAGCACAAAATCAAAGCTGAAGATGCTGACCTAACTTGCTTTATATTCTTTTGTCTCTGTTCTTGCTGTTTAGAAGGATGGCTAATCCCTGCTTTATCGTAGCAAGATTTGTGCTTCCCACCCCTCACTTGCTGTGTGTAGAGAGGGAATAAGCTCGATGCTCAGATGTTGATTCTACCCATCCGAAACATAAAACCATTAGGCAGGATGATGTTGCATCTTTTTAACACTGATCCTCTCTGGATGGAAGGAATTCAGAGAGAGATCTACTGCGCCTTCTGGTAGAGAATGTGAACATAATTGGATTTTACTTGCAGGGTGCGTTGCGGAGCGGGGATGAGCATAGGAGAGAATGGGGAGGAAGAACACTAAAAGAGACTTAAAGTGTGAAAAAAAGCAGCCATTTAGAGGAATTTGTAATGTGAAGTGTCTGAAAGGTCTAGATTATTCTAGGTTTCTATGTAACTTGCCTACAGCATCATGTGCTCCTTTTTTTTCTGATCATTTGGTGGATTTGTTTGTGTTTACATGTGTTTATATATGTTTATTCATCAATTATTTTTCACCTGTCTCTTGAAAGCTGAGATGCTTTCAGCTAGTGCAAAGTTTATCAGAACCTTGTCAGCAAAATTGATTACTTCTTGACCCTCAGAATTGTTGAAATCTCTCTTATATGTTCTAATTTAATATGCATCTTTTGATCCTCAGTGGCCTGGATGAGTCCATCTTGGAGGAATGTTTGCAGCATCTGGAGAAACAGCTGGAGAGCAGCCAGGCACGAAAAGCCATGGAGGAATTCTTTTCCAAAAGGTGAAGTCATCATCAAAATTGTAGGCCAAGGACTTTCTTTCTCTTCCTTTCACTCTTAGCTTGTCCCTCTCAACACCCAAGTGATGTTAGTGCCATTGTGCAGGAAAAGATAGAGCCATGTGAGGAGAGGATGCCCTTGAAGCAGCGCAGGAGAGTGTGAAAAGACTTGTCATGTGGGAGAGGACTTTTATTTGTTGCTCCAAATAAAATATTCAGCAAGTCCTAATAGTGATCATCAGTGGGGAATCTTGCAAGAGGATCGTTTTGTCAAAAGCATTATAAGGAGTTTTTTGAGAGATGCTGGTCTATAAGGCAGTTACAAATCCCAAGTTCTCTCAGTGCTTCCTCAGGGCACTGGGTTGGTAATTTTAATGTGGGGTGTTGGCCCAGTTTAGAATTATGAAGACAAATTGTGATGGAGACAGCAGAGCACAACAACAGTGTTGTGAAGAGGTACAAGGGTGAACTGGAGGAAAGCTTTTCTTTATTCAGAAGCTGACCATTAGCTGGTTTTGCTCTCTACTTGTTTATCAGTCTGGTGGCTGCCTGTTGTACTTTAGTAATGTGGAAGACAAAAATAGGCAAGAAAGTGTTGAATTTTGGTTTGGCAGGCAATGCAGGCCCTTTTGTGACTTGGTAGGCAGAGAATACTGATCTGCTACTCAGGAGCTTGTGAGATTCACAGGTTTTTGCCTGAGCTAAGATTTTTCTTCTTGTCTGAAAGCAATTTCTGTGGCTCAGCTGCTGCGCTGGGCAATGTTACACAAACTGGTGCCAGTCCTAAATGTGAGGGCAGAGATATTTAAGTGCAAATAAAAAAAAAAAAGGAATGGGTTGTCTTTTACCAAGCTGACTTAATTTTCCCCTTCCATGTAGTGGAGAACTGGTCCAGATCATGATGGCAACAGCCAATGAAAACCTCTCAGCCAAGTTCTGTAACAGGGTCCTGAAATTCTTCACCAAGCTCTTCCAGCTCAGTAAGTGTTGAATCTCTTCCGTCCTGCCTTTGTCCGCATTACACCGTTCTTGTATTAGGCTGTGGTGTGAAACTGCTTGAAAGCAAAGCTGTGAAAGGAAGTGGAGTGACACCTTCACACTTTTAGTGGAAATCCACCTTCAGACACGTTCATTGTGGCATCTGTCACTCACCAGTGATTTTCTCCCCCAGCTGAGAAGAGTCCTGTCCCCAGCCTCTTGCGACTCTGCGGCTCCTTGGCTCAGCTGGCGTGTGTGGAGCCGGTGCGGCTCCAGGCCTGGCTGACCAGGATGACCATGTCCCCACCCAAAGATTCTGATCAGCTGGATGTTGTGCAAGAGAACAGGCAACTGCTGCAACTTTTGACAACTTACATCGTTCGGGAAAACAGGTAAAGTACAGCCTTTGTCATTTCTTTTGTGTGCAGTTTCTTTTGTTCTCTAGGTGTACAAATGATGTGATTTGCTGATGGCTTCTTGTTGGCATCTTAAAAACCAAGTGATGGGGACTTTCTTGGCTGTTTGCCCGAAGGCTTTGCTGTGTCACTGCTCATGGGATGTGGGCCTCAGCTTTATTTCAGTGGGTGATGTACCCTCTCTGAAACTTTCTTCTTTTTGATCAGCCAAGTTGGAGAAGGTGTGTGCACTGTTCTGCTGAGTACTCTCATACCAATGGCAACAGAAATGCTGGCCAACGGGGATGGCACGGGCTTTCCTGAGCTGATGGTCGTGATGGCAACTTTGGCCAGTGCAGGACAAGGTGCAGGACACCTCCAGCTTCACGGTGCTGCTGTTGACTGGCTGGGCAGATGGTAAGAGCGTGCTGTATATTCCTGTTTATTCATTTGCATCACTTAAATATTCTATTTTCTAATTTTTTTCCTGAGAACGTGGGGAGAGCAGTTCATTTTTACTGATACACGCTTATTTTTTTAGTTTATTGTTTGTTATTTGGAATACAAAATGTCTGAGAGAGGCTGATCTGTGTCCCCAGTTTAAGAACAACCATGTGTTTTCTTTGTCTTTCCCATTCTTCATGGTTTAATTTCTGCATTCATAAATTTCCTGTTGCTAATCTAAAGCGAACTGAAAGCTTGAAGCTGTTGGTGAGAACTGACTTCATACTTCCCAAAGACTGTCAGTTGTAATGATCTTCTCCACTGTTTTGTGTTACAGCAAGAAATACCTGTCTCAGAAGAATGTGGTGGAAAAAATGAATGCAAACGTCATGCAAGGGAAGGTAAGAGGTGGCTATTGCTTACTTTGGAGGAATAAATCTCAGGCATGAGCTGTGTCAGTTGGGACAACATCAGCTCTCTCGGTTTTGGTTGCATAGTGGGAGTTTTGAAGCAATTTAGTCAGGGGCACTGCTGTGTTTTCTTGCCTTATAGCAACTATTCTGGGATCTGAGTATTGCAGCTCATTTTCATTCATCTCTGCCTCACAGCATGTGACGATCCTGGAGTGCACGTGCCATATTGTCTCTTACCTGGCCGATGTCACTAACGCCCTGAGCCAGAGCAGTGGCCAAGGACCAAGTCATCTCTCCGTTGATGGAGAGGAACGGGCCATTGAGGTGGATTCTGACTGGGTGGAAGAGCTGGCAGTGGAGGAGGAGGACTCTCAGGCTGAAGATTCGGTAGGTGATAGTCACAGTTAATGCTGTAAATGAGATGAAGGTTTATTTTGCTGCTTCCAGATCAGAATTACTCAGGTTATAAGTTAAGATTTTGTTGTCGTTAGTGTTTGTTCCTAATGTGAGACTGAGGGAAGAACCTGAGTTGCCCGATCTGGAAGAGAATATCTGTCATTTGTGCATAGATGTGTTGACTTTATCATGTCAACAAAAGTTAAAAGTGAGGGGGTTTTAAGAAAAAAAAAGGAAGAAATGGAGTCAGGTGGGTCTGTTCCTACCAGTCGGTTTGTCAGTTACGAGCTTTTATATCAACAAGCATCTTACATGAGGCTTTTAAGTGGGAAAAAAACCAGTTATTAATGTATTCTTTAAAATTTGTCATCCCAATATATTATTTTTTTTACTGTTTACTTACATGAGGCTTTTAAGTGGGGAAAAAAACCTGTTATTAATGTATTCTTTAAAATTTATCATCCCAATATATTATTTTTTTTACTGTTTTCTTGATTCACTCTTCTGAGTTGCTATAAAATGTCACCATCTCCTCTTCCCATGTGGTTGGATACCAGCTGCTGCCTTTTAGCTGGGTGGTGCTCAACTTGCTCTGCTTAAAATGCTCCTTTAGTGTCTGAGGAACATATTCTGTACCATGTGCCTTTACTATAGTTGCACTTATAACACATTTCTGAACCCAACTTTCTGCTTGACAGGATGAAGATTCTCTTTGTAATAAACTCTGCACCTTCACCATCACACAGAAAGAATTCATGAATCAACATTGGTAAGAATTTCAAATTTATGTTCAGAATTTCAGATTGGTATTTCTGGCCATTGAGAAGGAAACAGCTTGTGAACTGCAGCCTGTGGAGCCTTCCTGAGGCCTACCTCATCATAAAATGTGGTGTTTTATAACTCTTATGGCTTATTTCGTGCAGGTATCACTGTCACACTTGCAAGATGGTTGATGGGGTTGGTGTTTGCACAGTTTGTGCTAAAGTTTGTCACAAGGATCATGAGATTTCTTATGCCAAATACGGATCATTCTTCTGTGACTGTGGAGCCAAGGAAGATGGCAGTTGCCTGGTAAAGTGTCTTCCTGTCAACATCCAAGCTGTGATTTCTTGAGTTTTTAAGGCCTTTTGTGGGTTCTGCAATAAGTTACGTTGTGATATGAGTGCATGAGAGTCCTAAGACTTCAGTGCTTTAGCTTTATGACAAATCCTCTTAATTTACAGCTTGCCTGGCCATTTATTTTTTTGCATCAAATAAGTGCATTGGCAAATCTCTGTCTTTGTGACTACTGGGATTCCACTTACCTTTACAGAATTTGCAAGTTGGCTTAAGCTACTCAATAGTCAGATACCACCTTTTCCCATGTTTTGCACTAGAAGCAAACAAAGTGACTTTATCTTAAATGTGAAAGTCTTTCTAATAGTTGGGTGGACAGTGACGTGCAGGATACTCTCATGTTATTGCTTTCAAATTGCAGTCTAAGAGAATTACACTCTATTTCTTTAAAACTACATTAATCTTGGTGCTGTTACGACCTGTATTTGTTTCCTCAGTGCTTAAATTGACTCTGGTTTGGGATCTCATGCTGCTGTGTCATTCCCAGGCTTTGGTGAAGAGAACTCCCAGCAGTCACTCTATTTCTTTAAAACTACATTAATCTTGGTGCTGTTACGACCTGTATTTGTTTCCTCAGTGCTTAAATTGACTCTGGTTTGGGATCTCATGCTGCTGTGTCATTCCCAGGCTTTGGTGAAGAGAACTCCCAGCAGTGGTATGAGCTCCACCATGAAAGAATCCGCCTTCCAGAGCGAGCCCAGAGTGCCCGAGAGCGTCATTCGCCACGCGAGCACCTCTCCTGCAGAGAAAGCCAAGGTCACCATCAGCGAGGGAAAGGGCCCTGACGAAGAAAAACCCAAGAAGAGCAGCCTGTGTAGAAACGTCGAGGGCTGTCGAGAGGAACTGCAGTCCCAGGTATAATTAGTAGCTGGCTGTTAACAGAAGGTGGTTGGTGATGAGGATCTTGGGCAGACTGTGTTGGATATCAGCCAAGTTGCTTGATGTTTAAGGGACGTTTAGATGGGGTACTGAGGGATATGGTGTAGGGGAGGACTTTGTAGAGTAGGGTAGATGGTTGGACTCAATGATCCCAAGGGTGTCTTCCAACCTGAATGATTCTATGATTTTTATGCTCTTCTTTATGATAAGAGGGATCATAAAAGCGAGGGATCATAGACACTGGAACAGGTTGCCCAGGGAAGTTGTGGATGCCCCATCCCTGGAGGGGTTCAAGGCCAGGCTGGATGTGGCCTTGAGCAACCTGCTCTAGTGGGAGGTGTCCCTGCCCATGGCAGGGGGGTTGGAACTAGATGATCTTTGAAGTCCCTTCCAACCCAAACCATTCTATGATTCTATGAAAAGCGGTATCAGACTTTAAAAACAGGTTGACATGTAGCTCTAGTGAAGATTCCCAGCAGAAACACCTTGCGCCTCACTTGCTGTATCTGTTTCTTGTAGGCCAACTTCTCCTTTGCACCTTTGGTGCTGGACATGCTGAATTTCCTGATGGATGCCATTCAGATAAACTTCCAGCAGGCTTCAGCCATGGGGAGCAGCAGTCGCGCCCAGCAAGCTCTCAACGAGCTACATACTTTGGACAAGTCAGTAGAAATGACAGATCAGTTGATGGTATGATACTAAAGGAGGGATGAGATTATGGATCGGTGGGATCGCTTTTAAACAGAACAAAAAATCAGTGATATGTATTTTTTCTTTTATGCTTTTACTAATGACTCAGGTCCCAACTCTTGGCTCTCAAGAAGGTGCTTTTGAGAACGTCCGCATGAACTACAGCGGTGACCAGGGCCAGACCATCCGGCAGCTGATCAGTGCCCACGTCCTGAGGAGGGTGGCCATGTGTGTGCTCTCGTCCCCGCACGGACGCCGACAGCACCTGGCTGTGAGTCATGAAAAGGGCAAGGTGAGTTCTCTAGCTCTGGAGAGACTGTTGGGCTGTAAAAGAAGATGAAACAGCCTTTCATGAACGACAAGCAGAATATGATTTGGGCTGCCTGTCCCCAGATCTGGGTCTTCTGTAAAGTACTAGACCAGCTGGAACAGGTGCAGCGCAGGGCCACGAAGATGATCAGAGGGATGGAGCACCTCTCCTATGAAGACAGGCTGAGGGAGCTGGGATTGTTCAGCCTGGAGAAGAGGAGGCTCCGGGGAGACCTTATAGTGGCCTTTCAATACCTGAAGGGTGCCTATAGAAGAGCTGGGGAGGGACTCTTTGCCAGGAAGGTAATGATAGGACAAGGGGAAACGGGTTTAAATTGGAAGAAAAAAGATTCAGATTAGATCTCAGGAAGAAATTTTTTACTCTGAGGGTGGTGAGACACTGGAACAGGTTGCCCAGGGAAGTTGTGGCTGCCCCATCCCTGGAGGGGTTCAAGGCCAGGCTGGATGGGGCCTTGAGCAACCTGCTCTAGTGGGAGGTGTCCCTGCCCAGGGCAGGGGGGTTGGAACTAGATGATCTTTGAGGTCCCTTCCAACCCAAACCATTCTAGGATTCTATGATTCTACTGCACAGCTTAGGAAAACCTCTCATTCTTCAGAGAAAAGAGTTCTTGCAGCAGAAATAGTGAAAACTGTGCGGACGTAGTCGTAGAGCTGAAATTGAAATGCCCTTTTCCCCTTGGTTGTAAAGTTGGGTCACGGAGTTCGTTTTGTTCTGCAGATAACAGTCCTCCAGCTCTCGGCGTTGCTGAAACAAGCAGACTCCAGCAAAAGAAAACTGACCCTCACTCGCCTCGCGTCGGCGCCCGTGCCGTTCACTGTGCTGAGCCTGACTGGCAATCCCTGCAAGGAGGACTACCTGGCCGTGTGTGGACTGAAAGTAAGCACCTGATGAACCCTCTTCCAGGCAGTTGGAAACATCAGTCCTAAACCAGCTGTATTTCTTTCCTCTGAGGAGCTAGCACAGAGCTGGCTCCAAAATCTGTCACTAATTTTAGCTCATGAATCACTTGCCTACTAGATATATGAAGTAAAAGAAGCAAGACCTATATGAATAATATAATAAATGAGACAGCACCTCAAAATAGTACTTCTTATTGTATTAAGGCCAATTTTACTTTAAGACAGGACTCAATGTTTAGTCATGTCAAACTCAATGTGTTAGAACAACTAGTGTTTTGTAGCAAGGGCTCCTTTTTTTTTTGTATTCTCCCAAATTTAGATTTGTCTTTCACAGTGCAGCATCCTCAAACCTACTATTTAGCTAAGCAGCAGTTGGACTCTGTGTGGTTTTGATTTGGATTTTGTTTGGTTTTCCTTTACAAACTTTCATGTCATTCATCTTAAATGCAGGAATTATAGCTCTTTACTCTATGAATTGTTATTGGCACCAAGAGGAATGCTGGCTTTTAGCTCCATTCTTGGCTTGAAATGTTTCTACACATTTTGTTCTAATATTTGACCAATTTTTTTTCATTACTCCAGGACTGCCACGTGTTAACGTTCAGCAGCTCTGGATCGGTCTCTGATCATTTGGTACTTCATCCCCAACTAGCCACTGGAAATTTCATCATTAAAGCTGTGTGGCTGCCAGGATCTCAGACAGAGCTTGCTATTGTGACTGCAGACTTTGTCAAGGTACGTTTGGTCATGAGCTATTGATGATGTGTCTTCTTTCAGGCATTAGAGTCTGGATTTTCACGGAGTTGCATGTGGAAGATGTGGTAATATTCTTAGAAATAAATTGGAAATATAAATTTGTGGTGTTTGGCTACTGTTGTCGTAAGAAAAAGCAAAACCAAAGAACTCAGACCAAAAAAACCCTGAACTGTAATATCTAATAAGCATTCCCTCGTCTCAGCTTTTGTCCATTTGCACTGTTTGTATCGTCGTAGTTAACTATTTTCTTGATTCTTCCCACAGATTTACGATCTCTCTGTAGATGCCTTGAGTCCAACTTTTTACTTCCTTCTACCGAGTTCCAAAATCAGGGATGTCACGTTCCTTTTCAACGAGGAGGGGAAGAACATCATAGTGATCATGTCCTCTGCTGGCTACATCTACACACAGCTCATGGAAGAGGCGAGCAGTGCCCAGCACGGACCCTTCTACGTCACCAACGTCCTTGAAGTCAATCATGAGGACCTAAAGGTACCAGTGACTTCCCTTTCTTGTAGCGTGGGCTGCAGTGGCTTTTCCTCTCTTGTTTGTGTCTTACATTTGAAGGCAGAAGTTTTCTTTTTTCATTTTCATTTTTTTTTTTCCTCCTCTTAAGCCCCCCTGATCTAGATCAAGGCGCTTGCCGTTCCTCTAAAGAGAGAGAAATATCCTTGCGGTGAAAGGGGGTGGGGGTGAAAATTAAACCCCTTGATCCTTTCATCTAGAAAATGGAGCATGTTTTCCATGGCTGGCTGGGAAGTCATGCCCGGCAGGATTTCTCAGCAGGGAGATGGCTTCAGAGCAGCGCTGTTCTCCCAGCAAGGCGCTCCAAAGGTGCAGGAACCAGGATGGATAAAACTTACTGGCCATTACTGGGGCTGCAGAGGTGGAGCCAGCCTTTGTTTCTGCTCAGTGGCAGCTCTGTAGTCTTTGGGGTGACTCTTAAAAAATCTGCCCCCATTTCACTCAATGTTTCCCCCCTCAGCCTGCTCCAAACCAGGGGAATAGATGAGAAGAAGGCCCTCGGGAAAGCTCTTTTATGAGCTGGGAACATGGGGAGTGCTCCCTGTGAGACTGTTCAAGCGCACAGATGCGGTAGCTGAGGGCGATACCTACAGCCTCCGGGAGTGCAATCGCAGTATCCCCTCCGAAAGCCTTTGAAGTATCTGATGGATGAGTTCACCAAGGAGTTGGGCTTAGAAAATTGTCATTTAAGGCTGCATTCTCTCCCTGGTGGGGAGGGGGCACGGGAGAGGCTTCTGGAATAATTCCATCATGGGGAATTTTAAAAGCCTGATGGTGTTTTGGAGGATGTGTGTTTATCTGCGATGTTGTTGTTTGTCTCTGATCCCACAGGACAGCAATGGCCAGGTGGCAGGAGGTGGGGTCTCCGTGTATTATTCCCATGTGCTCCAGATGTTGTTCTTCAGCTACTGCCAAGGCAAATCCTTCGCAGCCACCATCAGTCGGGCCAATCTGGAAGTGCAGCGGCTGTTCCCAATTAACATAAAGAGGTGAGGCTCGCGTGGAAGGCTCTGCTGAAGTTTTAATTGCTGTTTATCATATTCCTTTTATTATAAATATTACTAATTATTCTTAACATCCCAGCTCTGACTGGCCAAAGCTTGTGGTGAAGATCTCCTTTTTGACTGAAGGTTTCTTGCTACTTTTCCTGTTGTTTCTGCCCTAATTGCAGGGTGATTGGAAACCAAAGCTGGCCGTTTTGGCAGAGGGGCATGTATATGCATTTTTTTTCTTCCCACTAGGATTTCATAGCAGAAAGGTGGCTTTGGAGCAGCCTTGCTGCACGGTGCAGAGCTGCTACTGGTGCAGCAGCTGGAACCGATGGGATTACCCACCCTCGTGGAGGCTGCAGAGCAGGAAGCCTTTGTTTCCTTTCGGCACCAGTACTGCAGTGGACCTTGTGTATTGTGCATATTAAGGCTTATTTTCAGGCTCCCTTGAGGGAAACCAATCTCTTATGCTATGAATGTGGCAAAAAAAAAAAAGCTGTTCTGTCATCTGTTCTGGCAAGTGGAGCTGGGCGTTTAGGCCACAGTCTCCTCAGTGGCCTGACACAAAGCCACTGTCCTGGGTAGGCTCTGTCAAAGGGCCAGGTTCCAAGAGGTCCCTCACCCTAGTTGAGTTTGGCTTAGTCTTTTTGCAGCTTTGTTGGTTTGCTGTTGGTTTTTTTTAAAGTTAGCAGTCACACAGATTCTCCAGCATTTTGGGTGTTTTTAAGTTAGCAGTCACACAGATTCTCCAGCATTGGTCTTTGCTTAGTGCTGCTGGCTGTGTTGAAACATGGAATTGGTCAGATAAAAAGATACCTGAAAGCACCCTAGTTGAGTTTGGCTTAGTCTTTTTGCAGCTTTGTTGGTTTGTTGGGTGTTTTTAAGTTAGCAGTCACACAGATTCTCCAGCATTGGTCTTTGCTTAGTGCTGCTGGCTGTGTTGAAACATGGAATTGGTCAGATAAAAAGATACCTGAAAGCCATTTAAAAATGACTCCCTTGGGTTTGGGCATAAAATGTTACTAAGTGTCTTTCCTCAAGTTTTCAGGGCAGAGATCAGGGCTGTGAATGGGGATGCTTGTGCCTTCTGCCCACCCAGGTGTCTGTCTCTGGTTTCTCGCTTATAAACTGGGCACTGATATTCCTGGAGTTCTTTGAATTTTTACTGAGGACGAAGCTTTAGCTGATTTGAACAGTGATGAATTTTGTGAGTTTTCACTTGTTTTGCTCCTTAAACTAACGTCAATCTGCCTTTCATCTCTTGCAGTTCGAATGGTGGGAGTAAGACTTCACCGGCGCTGTGTCAGTGGTCTGAGGTGATGAACCACCCTGGCTTGGTGTGTTGTGTTCAACAAACCACGGGTGTCCCACTGGTGGTGATGGTGAAGCCAGACACCTTTCTCATCCAGGAGATTAAAACCTTACCAGCCAAAGCAAAGGTTAGTCATAGTTCCCTGTATTTTTGGCCCTTAAAACATGATTTCTTGTTCCAATGACTAGATATTGAGTCTTTGCAGCTTTTTTAATGTGAAGAGTTTGTTTCTGCAAGCAGCAGTTGCCAGGTCCTTTCCTTGACCTGCATTACTTGCCTTTGCAGATTCAGGACATGGTGGCCATCCGTCACACAGCCTGCAACGAGCAGCAGAGGACCACCATGATCCTCCTGTGCGAAGATGGCAGCCTGAGGATCTACATGGCCAACGTAGAGAACACCTCCTACTGGCTCCAGCCCTCTCTCCAGCCCAGCAGCGTCATCAGCATCATGAAGCCAGTTCGCAAGCGCAAGGCGGCTGCTATTAGTAAGGGATTTCTCATTGTATGTGGCAAATGTAGACACAAAGGTTGATTAGTGTCATATAGATCCTTAAGATGTTCACATATGGCAATCACAGAATCACAGAATCTTAGTGGTTGGAAGGGACCTCTGAGATCATCGAGTCCAACCACAAAAAAAAAGAAAAAAAAAAACAAAAAACAAAAAACAAAACAAAACAAAAAACCACAAAAAAACCCCCACAACCAAACAAATACAAAACACACCACACCAAACGCCCACCAAAAACACCACACCCACCAACTAAACCCCACACTCAACACCTCACCATAAACCAATACCCTTAGGCACTAGAGCATGCCCTGAAGAGCCATGTCTATACGTTTCTTAAATCCCTCCAGGGATGGGGACTCCACCCCCTCCCTGGGCAGGCTGTTCCAGTGCCTGACCACTCTTTCAGTAAAGTAATTCTTTCTAATATCTAATCTAAATCTCCCTTGCCGCAACTTCAGACCATTTCCTCTGGTCTTGTCGTTCGTCCTTTGGGAGAAGAGGCCAACCCCCACCTCTCTACACCCTCCTTTCAGGTAGTTGTAGAGGGCAATGAGGTCTCCCCTCAGCCTCCTCTTCTCCAAACTCAACATGCCCAGTTCCCTCAGCCTCTCCTCATAGGACTTGTTCTCCAGGCCCCTCCCCAGCTTGGTGGCTCTCCTCTGGACACGCTCCCAGTTAACCTTGGCATTAAGTCTGGGTAAAATGTTTCCATAGATGCATAGAAAAATATAGAGCTATCTGTCTCGCATGGGCATTTCCAAAGGAGGCAAGCTCATTCTGCAGCTTCTTTATTGTACCTTTGCCTGTTTAGAATGTGTTTTAACCATCTCTCTTCCCTTTTAGCAACTCGCACCTCCAGCCAAGTGAACTTCCCCATCGATTTCTTTGAACACAACCAGCAGCTCACAGACGTGGAGTTTGGAGGCAACGACCTGCTGCAGGTTTACAACGCTCAGCAGATAAAGCACCGACTCAATTCCACGGGCATGTATGTGGCCAACACAAAGGTAAATGGGGCAATTTGGGCATCCTCTTGGGCTTCTAGGTGATATTATTGTCCAGATTTATAGTCTATCTTTTCTTAGAAGTCTGCATTGTTCAAATGACCCTGTCCAAACCCCCTGATGCTGTTAGATAAACAGTGGAGGCACCTGCGTGCAGACATCAGATTCTTAGCTCAGCAGTGAATTTCTGACTTCACCTTTCTGAGCTGTGATGTGTTTTCTGCAGCCTGGGGGTTTCACCATTGAAGTGACAAACAACAACAGCACCATGGTGATGACGGGCATGCGCATCCAGATTGGCACACAGGCCATAGAGCGGGCGCCCTCCTACTTGGAGATCTTTGGCCGCACCATGCAGCTGAACATGACCAGGGCTCGATGGTTTGACTTCCCTTTCACTCGTGAGGAAGCCTTGCAGGCCGACAAGAAACTAACCATCTTCAGTAAGTCTTTGTTAATTATTTGCTTTGATTACCGGATGGTTTTGCTTGGGTGGGTTGAAGCAACTGTGCTTCACCTCAGGTGGGGAGGGTTTCCACAAGCTGTTCATTTGAAGTCACCACAGAAAAGATTCGAGGCGCAGATCCTGCACATTTAATAACTTTTTCTTCATGGCTCAATTTCTTGCTTCAGTGGATGAATGTGCAGTAGCTCTGCTCAGGAATTTTGTGCTGAGGCACTAGAGAAGTGGCCTTGAGAAGGAGATGTAGCTGTCAGAGTGGCTGTGTATTAACGACACAGTGTAATTGCTATCCTGACCTTATGAGGCTGTGCTTGTTTGTATTCAAAAGAAACTGTTAATGGGCACAAACTTGAACTTAGAAAGTTCCATCTAAACACGAGGAGGAACTTCTTTCCTGTGAGGGTAGCAGAGCTCTGGAAGATGCTGCCCAGGGAGGTGGTGGAGTCCCCTTCTCTGGAGACATTCAAACCTTACCTGGACACGTTCCTGTGCAATCTGCTCTGGGTGGCCCTGCTCTGGCAGGAGGTTGGACTAGATGATCTCCAGAAGTCTTTTCCAACCCCATATCATTCTGTGATTCTTAAGAGATTTTTCTCATTGCTGCAGTTGGGGCTTCTGTGGATCCTGCTGGAGTCACAATGATGGATTCCATAAAAATTTATGGCAAAACCAAAGAACAGTTTGGATGGCCTGATGAGCCCCCCGAGGATTTCCCCTCTGCGTCAGTGAGCAACGTGTGTCCCCCAAACCTGAATCAAGGGAACGGCACAGGAGACACGGAGTCGGCTGCCCCTGCTGCTGCCAGTGGGACTGTCCTGGAGAGGTATCTCTGCAGTCTTTCTTTTATTTCTTGTTTAAAATGAGTTGTTGCTCTAGAGGGGACCTCTAGGTACCCTTGTGTGTCTTTCTTAACCAAGAGAACTTAAGTTGTTCCCACTGCTGTACAAAACAGCAACTGAAAAGTCAGTGTTTATCTTCTAAGCAGGGCTTTGTGCCCGCTCTTGCTTTATCTGGTGGAGTAGATGGATAGATGTGTGTGCACGCTTCGTGTTGCTAAGTTCGTTTGTTACAGCAATCTTGAAGAGCTAAAAGAGATTTCTGCTGCCTTGGTACATTTTCTCATTTCAAGCTGGCCCTTTTTCATTCTTTAGAGCTCACTCTGATGTTCAGTTTGGTTTGGAGGAGGACTTTGTGACCTGGCTTTAGGCGAGTGGTTCCCACCCTCATGTAGCCCATATGTCTCAGGTTGAACTACTGTGGTGGAGAAGGTGTTAGGTCTCCCCATGTTTCCCAACCCCAATATCAAGTCAAACCACAAGGATGAGCTGGGGAAGGTGTTAGGTCTCCCCATGTTTCCCACCTCCATTATCAAGTCAAACCACAAGGATGAGCTGGGGCTTGTGTTTAGCAGAAGAAATAGAGCTTTTTTTTTTTATTAATATATCCACCTGTGTTCTTTCTCTGAACTCACACAGTCTGTGCTGTAAGGGTTGTAGGAAACCTGGCAAATTGGCAGGGATAGGAGGGAAACAGATCAGAGAGGAACTACCACTGCTGGAAAATGAGTGTTTTAAGGGATGTGCTGCTTGACTGTGAGTAAATGGTGGTTAATTTTGTCCTCTGAAATTCTCAGGTAAAGGCTCAGGGCTTGAAGTGGCCTTTATGTCCAGTTGAAAGACCTGTTTGGCCATCCTTTAATATTTTGTCTAATAGTTCATAGGATTTTTTCCTGTGCTTAATTTCTCTTTTCTTCCCTCCTCTGCTGTGACATCTCCACAAGATGTCCCTCTCCGCACAGACAAGCTTTCTGGTTTTCCAAAGCAGATTATATTCTAAAAACTCAGAATCCAAAAAAATACTCATTTTTACATGCGTGTTACAGAATGCAGCCTGGTTACCTTATAAAGGGCCTCTTGAGTAGGAACAACTAACGGCAGGGAGGAGGCAGCTTTCTTAGCAGAAGTTTGGTGTCTGTTCTTCAAATTTCACCTTCAGTGGTGCTTTAAGCAACGTGCTTGGCTTCTGTGTGCTAGGTGGCCTGGGTCTCCCTTCTTTGTGTTGCTATTAGGCAAGTGTCTGCTGCCCAAATAGGCAGAACCCTGCTTAGATTTACTGTATAGAGCGCTCTCCCGGCTTCCTGATTTCCCTGTTTAATTTGCCTTTTGCTTAGAATGTGTTCTAGGGAGATTTTCTGTGAGCTTTACACATTTTTATTTTTTTTTTTTCCTTTTTCTTTGCTCCCCCAAAGTTCTGAAACTGAGTCCCTAACCACCCTGGACCGGTTAGTATGCCATCCTTTTCTCTGCACGAATGAGTGTGTGTCAGAGAGACAGAACACATGATGTGGCTTTTGTTGACTGTTTTTTTTATTTTTGTTTTGTTTTCCAAGTGCCATTTGCTTCTTTACATTCTGGTCATTGCATGGCAGATGGTTTAGCGAAATGTAAAGATTGAGGTGGTTTGCAGATTTTTGCTGTATTCCGGCGTAACCGTTGCTTGTTTGACAGACTCCTCGCTTTGTTCCCTCCTTGCGTCTTTTTACCCCACTTCTATTCCCTCCCTGGCTTTACGGAGGGTGGCTGCGGGTAGGGGAATGGCGTGTTCTTTAGCACCACCAGACAATTGTTGTTTCTCCTGCCTCGTATCCAATCCCACGCTGCTGTTTCTCCCCTTAATGCTGTCTCTTCCCTCCTTTTTCCTGTGTTCTTGCACTGCTCCTTCTGGCGTGTCAGATGGCCTTTCAGGTAGTTCTCCCTCGAGGCATGAAGCGGTGCTGGAAGGGAGGTTCAGCACTTTGCTGCAAGTTGTAAATAAGGTTTTTCCCTCGGGGCAAGTATTTTACTGGCCTGCCTTCCCGCTGTCAAAAGGTTGGACCTCAGCATCTCTCACTTGGGTCCTACCCAGTTGCTCCCGAGTTCGTTTTCCTCTGGACTGTTTTGTGCTGAAACTCCAAATTGGAAAGAGCAACCCTTGGGTCTCTCACTTGGGTCCTACCCAGTTGCTCCCAAGTTCGTTTTCCTCTGGACTGTTTTGTGCTGAAACTCCAAATTGGAAAGAGCAACCTGTGTGAAAACAGCAAGCGAGTAGAATCTTGCTCCCTTAGAAAAGTCGGTTACGCTTTTTCCCATGTGTCATACCAAGCCTTGATCTGCAGTCATATGTACGGCTGTGGGCCATGGTGAATTGGTACTGTCAAGACAATCCAAGTTATCCCTGCTGCAGGCTGCGTAAGGAAATGTTTTATCCTCTTTGGGAGAGAAAAGCCCCTGTCTTTCAGCTGTGGATTATTAAAGCAGTCCTAAGTTTGTCTGTGAGCGTGAGCCAGGTTTAACTCTGGTCTGTAACACAATGAAATGATATGCATGGTGCCTGTGGCAGGTTTTATCATGCTTTGATTTTGTACTTGGCATTCGTTAGCTGTCTCTGAGCTACTCATGACTGTAGCCCGCATAAAGCAAAGTGCTAAGGAGAGAGGAGGGTTGCTGTACTCAAGCCTGCTTTCCTTTCTCCCTTCAGGCTAGTAGTGAGTTCTTTAGAAGCGCTGGAAAGCTGCTTTGCTGTAGGACCAGTCAACGAGAAGGCAAGTAACTTTCTGAATACATTCTTGAGCTTTCAGAGATGGGGGGGAGGGAGGGGCAAGATCAGCAGCACCTCCTGCAGCCCTGGGGGCCTGATACGGCAGAGAGCCGCATCCGTTTTGCTCAGAGCACTGATCTGAAAGTTGACTTAGGGAAAAGCATTTGAAACTAGTTTAGAATGACAATCGGCATTTGCATTTATCGCTGGTGGGATTTTTGTGCTGGAGACTGACCTCATTTACAAAAACAGCAGGGTAGAAGCCCATAAATCTCAAAAGGACTTTTCTTGTGTAGACATGCGAAATGTTCCTTAAATGTCAAATAAGAAATGGAGGAGGCTGTCAAAACTGTGTGGAAGGAAAACAGAAACTTGCACGCACAGTGGAAAGAGGGGAGGGAGCTGCAGGTACGCTGAGAAACCAGACTCATGCATCACCTTAATAGTAAACATACTGAAGAGTGTTCTTTTTTCTCTTCCTGGGAGCAGGAGAAGAATAAGGTGGCAGCTCAGGAACTGGCTACTATGCTGCTGTCCATGCCAGCTCCTTCCAGCGTCCAGCAGCAAACCAAGAGCCTCTTGGCCAGCTTGCACACCAGCCGCTCGGCATACCATAACCACAAGGTAACCCGGTGCAAGGATTTCCACGTCTCCTGTCACTTCCCAGTTTATGATTGAGGTGCAGCACGTCCCTAGAAAGGCCTTTCTCTGTGCAGCATAAGCCTGCTGCCTAATTTCCCTTCAGCTCCTGCTGCCTGCCTTGCTGGCTTTTGTGTTTCAGCGGAACTTCACTACTTCAAATGTTTTTTGAAGATTTTGATGGGAAATAATGTCGGTTAATGTAGAGAGATCAGGATCTCTGATTTCTCTACACATGAAGTTTGTTTGCAAACTGCGTAGCTCCGGTTTCCGTTTCCACAGGCAGCTGGCTCAGGGTAGTAGGAAAATGCCAGGGTAGGTTGTGGTTAGACTGTGTGCTAATGCACAGATTCCTGCACATAGTCTTTGCTAACCACTCGAAGACACTGGTCTTTCCATCCACATTCAAGTCTGAGGGGAAGAAAATGTGAAAATCCATTCTCAAGCCAGATTTCTTCTGTGACAGGATGACTTTTTAATATTAGTTTGCCTTTCCTAGATGATACTGGCCAAGAGTTAAAGCAGCGAGTGCCACATTTCCCCAGGATCTGTCCTGTGGTTGTTATTTCAGTTGCCTTGTTGTGCTGCTGTCTGTTGTTGTTCTTTGCCTACGTTATCTTTCACTTTACAGGATCAAGCATTGTTAAGTAAAGCCATTCAGTATTTGAGCTCCTCAACCAAAGAAGGAAAGGACCTTGATCCCGAGGTGTTTCAGAGGCTGGTCATCACTGCTCGGTCCATTGCTATTATGAGACCCAACAATCTGGTCCATTATACGGAATCAAAGCTGCCACAGTTGGAAACAGGTAGAGAAATCTGGATTTTTCTTCAAATTTCTCTTGTGATAACCAAAGATGACAGGAACTTTATTAGACACATTGTTAGGCATGTGATAGTTCTTGTAATGAAGACACCAGAGCCTCTAACAAAAGCTATTTCAAGTAAATATGGTGTTACCTGCCTTTTCATGTTTTCCCCTACATGTATCTGACGAGTGTTTTTTAATCCACACAGAGAATGAAGAAGGGCAGGAGGCCCAGAAACACGCTGAAGGAGAAGGCTGCACTTTTATTACCCAGCTGGTCAACCACTTCTGGAAGCTACACGCATCAAAACCCAAAAACGCCTTCCTGGCCCCTGCCTGCCTGCCAGGTGTGCTAGCTCCTCTTTTGCTATTGTAAAGTTTGGGTGTTTTGAAGGAGCCTTTTTTAAGCTTGTAAACAGAAAATGACTTGTTCCAAACTAGGCTGAAGGTGTTAATGATGCAAGGAATGCTTTTAAAGGTGTATCTGCTGTAGTGCTTTGGTTCAGAACTCTGTATATTGTGCTGGTGAAAAGGGACTGATGATTGATTTATTCACGTTTGACTTCGTGGGTGGTGTGAGAGGGTGCTCAGTGTTGCATGGCCTGTGCAGTATTCCATTGAGCAGACAGGACTGGTGTGTAAGCTCATTTTGGATTGAAACCACAATATATTTGTGGTGTGAACATCGTGCCTTGAAGTCTCCAAACAAAAGATGCTTCCTGCAGTGTCTTACTCCATGTGCTGAAATGGAAAGATAATTGCTTACAGTCCTGCTTTTATTTCCCTTTAGGTCTCACTCATGTTGAAGCCACAGTGAACGCTCTGGTGGATATTATCCATGGATACTGCACGTGTGAACTGGACTGTATCCATACAGCATCCAAGATCTACATGCAGATGTTGCTTTGCCCGGTATGTGATCTCACTCTGCTCTGCCTCAGCCCTATAACACTGGTAATACCAGCAGAATTAAATACAGGGAGAATGATAATACGTAGTACGGATACAAATTAGAGGCATGGAGCCAAAAACACAGAGCCAGAAGTAAATGAAGGAGACATTTCTCTCCTTGTATTTCAGTACTCTGTGATGCACTGCGTGTGGAATGATAAATATTGCTTTATTGCTGGGGGAAGCAGGGAGTTTGGAAGTTGGGCAGCGACATATGTTTTATGTGAATCATGACCAACAGAGAGTTTTAAGTGTATTTTTAGCTATCTTTCCAAATAGTGTGAATAAGCACTTAAAGCTGAAGAAGTTTAATGATTAACTGTTAACCCTCTAGGATCCTGCAGTGAGCTTTTCTTGCAAACAAGCTTTGATCAGAGTGCTGAGACCGAGGAACAAGCGGAGACACGTCACCTTGCCATCGTCCCCTCGGAGCAATACTCCTATGGGTAGGCAGATCCATTCATCTCTGCCTTTCAGTGAGCATGACCTACTTCATTTGTCAAAAAAGACAAGAAAATAAAGTAGTCTTTTAGATGGGACAAACCCCAGTCTTCTTCCTTTCTTTTCTCTCTCTTTCCCCCTAAAAATCTTATTTTTTTTCAAACATTTCCCTCTTCTTTGATGTTCTTGGATTCACATAGGAGATATCTCTGAGATATTCCCATTTCAGTATTGGGGAAATCTGACTATTTTATCTTAAGGGATAACAATCCAGACTGCCCTAGTATTTCTGTACATATTTTCAAGTCCTTATAAATCAATTGTAAGGATTTGTGCAGACCAAATTGGGGTATTGGATCTCCATCCAAGAAATACCTTTGTAGCATTGACATGAATTGTAGTTGTCATGGAATGTATGAGTGACTGGGGGTAAACTTGAGGACAGCTTAGTTTTTCCTCTGGTATTAATTACCTTGTTCATGATAATCATAGAATTATAGAATTGTCTAGGTTGGAAGGGACCTTTAAGATCATCTAGTCCAACCATGATGTGAGGAAATAGCAAATTTGTGAATTAATTCTTTGTAACTCAGGGGATAAAGATGATGATGACGATGACGATGCAGAAGACAAGCTGCAGAGCTCTGGGATAGCGAACGGGGAGCACATCCGACAAGAGAGCCAGGAGCAAAGCGAAGTTGACCACGGGGACTTTGAGATGGTGGTAAGTCCAGAGTGCTTCTCTTCAGAGCCTTTCAAGTGTGCTACATACTTGAGTTGAATTTAGTTAGGATGAGTCAGTTCTTAGGGCTCCATTAGCTGGGGGTGGTTTGGTGAAAGCTCTCACTGTGTTTCCTCTCCGTAGTCTGAATCTATGGTGCTGGAGACTTCCGAAAATGTGAATAATGGGAACCCTTCTCCCCTGGAGGCTCTTCTGGCTGGAGCAGAGGGATTCCCTCCTATGCTGGATATTCCTCCAGATGCGGATGATGAAACAATGGTGGAATTGGCTATTGCCCTGAGCCTGCAACAAGATCAGCAAGGTAAGGTGTGGGTGTTATTGGCAGTCAAAAAGGTAAATAGAATATGAGGGAACTGGGAAAGAAACAAAGCAGAAGCTGTTGGTGTCACCACCAAGAAAGCAAAGATAATAGAGCTATGAAATGTAGAGAGAAGGCCAGAGTTAACATCATTCTCTCACAGAAAGGTACTCATGATGCATTTTCTTCTTGCAGGGAGCAGCAGTAGCGCACTTGGACTTCAGAGCTTGGGACTGTCTGGCCAAGCACCCAGCTCTTCTTCTCTTGATGCCGGAACGCTCTCAGATACAACAGCATCAGGTAACTGTTCACTGCGAGGAATCAAGCTTTTTTGCTTTTGACCTAAATAATGACTTTAAATTTGATTGTAAATACGGTTTTGAAGAACTAATTATAACTATTGGCTTTGTGTATTTTTGATAGTGTATTTATGGCCTTTTCCTGCCTTGATGGACTTTCATTGTATGTTTCTGAGGGAGGCATTTCCTCTCCTTAAAATAAGCAGACGAAATAAACCATATACGGGGTTTCCTTTGCATGTATAAACAACCAAACGTTGTTCTTCAAGTAACTTGCATGATTATCTATTTGATGAGAAGGTTTCCTTCTCAGGGTGTCTCCCCTCCGCTGCTTTGTGCAGCTTTAAATCTACTCATGGGCGCTTCTAAGTTCCGTTTTGATTTATAGTTGAAAATTGACGTAAAAACAAATATTCGTGGCTTTTCTTTCGTAGCATGTGCGTCTTTTGAAGTTGTATCAAGGCAGTGTTTTTACTTGTAACAGCTCTCTTTATTCTCTTAGCTCCAGCGTCCGATGATGAAGGCAGCACGGCTGCGACGGACGGCTCGACGCTCCGCACGTCGCCCGCAGACCACGGTGGGAGCGTGGGCTCCGAGAGCGGCGGCAGCGCGGTGGACTCCGTGGCTGGTGAGCACAGTGGTGAGTGTCTCTTGTTGCCCCAGTGGCTGAACATCTGTTTTCTACTGTAATACCACTTTAGCAGAGTTAAAAAGGGGTTCCAAACAGATGATGCCATGCATTATATATATATATATTGCGCCAGGGGAGGTTCAGGCTGGATATTAGGAAAAATTTTTTCACTGAAAGGGTTCTCAGCCATTGGAATGGGCTGCCCAGGGAAGTGGTTGAGGCCCCATCCCTGGAGGTGTTCAAAAGACAGGTTGATGTAGTGCTGGGAGGTATGGTTTAGTGATGATGCTCCTTGTTTGTTGTGTGGGTGTCTATTTTTGTCAGTGAGGTTGACGGTTGGACAAGATGATCTTTAAGGTCCCTTCCAACCTAGAAGATTCTGTGATTCTGTGATTATTGTATGGTTGCTGTCAAAGTGCCGTACGGACTTAATATTTGCTCACTTCTTGTAGTTTTCTAGAAGTGTGGAATATGCAGCAGTTTTTACTGGCCTGTAATAACAGAATGCAATAACCCAGAGCAGGACTGAAAGAATTCACTGCACTGCTGGATAGGTTTGGATAAGATAAAATTAATTTCTCTTTTTCTAGCTTGGGACTGATACACAGGTAAAACTGATCACAGACTTTTATAAAAAAAATTGTCTGTGCTGCCAATCCTGTATACAACATGCATCTCCTGACTCTTATTTAAATTACTGCTGTGGAACCAATTCAATTTGGGCCAGAAAGATGAGGCTGGCAAACAAGGAATGCTGGGGGTGTTAAGTGGCATCTGTAGAAATGAATCTTAGAGCTTTATGAAGGTACCAAAGACACCCACTCCCTAGAACCAGAATTCCAAGGGGTAGTTCAGCTGCGTTGGTTGCTGTGAAGCAGGCAAGAGGCATCTTCAATTGTGCTGACTTTGTCTTTCCCTTTTTTGTTTTCTTTTTCCAGTGTCTGGCCGTAGCAGTGCTTATGGGGACACGACAGCTGAAGGCCACCCTGCTGGACCGGGCAGTGTCAGCTCCAGCACCGGCGCCATCAGCACCACCACGGGCCAGCAGGAGGGAGATGGTTCGGAAGGGGAAGGGGAGGCAGAGGGAGATGTCCACACCAGCAACAGGCAAGAGGCTCTCCTTTCTCCTTTCTAGGGGCAATGGCTTCAAGCTGGAGGGGAACAGATTTAGACTGGAGATTAGGAGAGGGTTCTTCACTGGGAGGGTGGTGGAGCACTGGAACAGGTTGCCCAGGGAGGTGGTTGAGGCCCCTTCCCTGGAGATATTCAAGGTGAGGCTCGACGAGGCCCTGGGCAACCTGGTCTAGTTGGGGGTGTCCCTGCTGACTGCGGGGGGGTCGGACTAGATGGCCTTTGGAGGTCCCTTCCGGCCTGGGCGATTCTATGATTCTTCTTCCAGAATAGCACGTCTGGTCTGCAGTGTCAGTGTTTATAGAGCAGTGGACCATGGGTGCTGGAATTCACAGAGCGTGGTTTGTCACTCTTGGATAGTAAAAAGTGAAAGTCAGAATAGAGCAATCTTCCAGAATAGCACGTCTGGTCTGCAGTGTCAGTGTTTATAGAGCAGTGGACCATGGGTGCTGGAATTCCCAAGAGTGACAAACCACGCTCTGTATAGTAAAAAGTGAAAGTCAGAATAGAGCAAACTGTGGCACTGGGAAATGCCTCCCTCTGTGCATTCACCACGTGAGATGTTACACATACCTGGTGTGTGGCCCACAAAACTGCTGCCCGTACAAAGTGATGAAAAAATCCTGCACGAGTCTATTAAACAGAGGAATCACTAACATCTACAGCTTGAGAGCTTGGGAAATTCAGTGTCAGGAAAAAAGCATGTGCAGGAGTGCTAAGCACTTTGGGAAAGATTGGCAGCTTTTCATTCTGCAGGAACAGATGCTCAGTCATCTTTATGGTGTGGTTTGGAACAGATTTATAGGATCTGTTTCCAGACAGCTGAATTCTGCAAGCAGTCACGGCAGGCAGCGTGGTTCTGAAGTGAAGAACTATGTCTGTTGTCAGAGTTGCTCCGCATCTTTGACATGGGTTGACTATAAATTTTGAGGGAGTCCATTCCTGTCTGTGCTGATTTGATGACCTTAGGATTTCTTCCTGCTCTGCATTTGTGTGGTGAATCGTGGTGCTCTGTTGATAATCCTGCTGGGTCTGACATTTCTGCTCTGAAGTCCTTTGACTCCTGGCTTCTCTCTTCCCAGGCTGCACATGGTCCGGCTGATGTTGCTGGAGAGGCTGCTGCAAAACTTACCTCAGCTGAGGAACGTTGGAGGAGTCCGGGCCATTCCTTATATGCAGGTAACTGAGCAGGGCTCAGGAGTTAAGCCTTAACAAACCAGTTAATCACTCCTGCTGCTGCCAGGTTTCTACTTGCACCTGCTTTTCCCTTTTTCTTTCCTGCCCAGTCACAGCGTGTGAGTCCAGCTCTGAAGTGTTTGATCTTTTGCACAGCATTTTTGCTCAAAATGTACCCTTTCTCAGTGTGGCATTAGTTGGCTGATGAGACTTCGGGCTAAAATCCTTGTATTTTGGAGGGGTTTGGGGGTTTATATTGAATGTTCCTATCAGGGTGTGATGGTGCAGGCAGAATTTGGCAAAGAAGGTAAATTAATCAAGGTAAAATCTGCAGGGGTTTTGTGAAAGATAATCTGTATTTATCTTAAAAACATGGAACTGGCCTTCTCTTAATTTTCTGCATTCTATTCCCAGGTTATTCTGATGCTCACAACAGACCTAGATGGAGATGATGAGAAAGACAAGGGAGCTTTAGATAACCTTCTGTCCCAACTGATCGCAGAGCTGTGCATGGACAAAAAGGTGAGCTGTGGCAGGAGCACACACTCTTCAGTTTGCTCCTTCTAGGCAGGGCTTCTTCCCAGGGAGGAATTAAACGTGTAGGAGTCAGAGAAACCCATTGCTGGATGGATGTGTGCAGGGAGTTTATTTCTCTTGGCTCACTTCACAGAAGGTAGAAAATGACAGGAGTGTAACTCTCACTGTTTCCTGGTTCCGACATCCACAAATGAGCATGGAAATTGGTTTCACTTGAATTAAACTTTTAAACCAGGCGTGATCAGTGATGTATAATTGACATGTATACCTTTTCATTTGTGTAATGCTGCTCTCTGCCATCCAGGCCACTCTCTACCCTTATATTGAGGAATTTGTGCTCCCTTTTCAGCATCACTGCTTGAGCTCAAATTAGAAATGCTTCGTGAGGATCAGAGCACTGAAATTTAGATGCTTGGGACGATGTGCTCAGCTCTGGAAATAACCAAGGAAGCTCTCTCCTTGCAGGATGTGTCTAAGAAAAACGAACGCTCTCCTGTGAACGAGGTGCACTTGGTGGTGATGAGGCTGCTCAGTGTGTTCATGTCCAGAACTAAGTCAGGATCCAAATCTTCCATTTGTGAGGTACGTTCTTCAAATTGCTTTGTCTAGGGGGATGATGTGACTGAAGGGGGGCTTTTGTTCATCCTGTGAACTGAAATAGCTGGTCTAAACCTGAAAAACAGTTAGAAGTGCTTTGGAAAAAAATCCTGAGGAACCTGTAATGTTATTTGACTCTCGTGGAAAAAAAAAAAAAGAGCTTTGCTGAAAACTCAGAATTATTTGACTCTTGTGGGGAAAAAAAAAAGAGCTTTGCTGAAAACTCAGAATGGAGGGAACGGACGTGCAAAGGCAACTGGATCCCTTGTTTTGTGCACAATTTCTGACTGAGCTAAGGGCAGCACATTAATGATGTTATTTAAAATGGTCTAGCAGATTTTATTCCTTGCATCTTACTGGTGCTGAAGGGGTTAAAAAAGGATTTGTAATGTGATTATTGGAAAGCAATATGCTGCTGTGTCAACGTAAAAGTCGCTAAGAGGATTCCTTAGATATTTGTTGCTAAAAGGTACAGTAATAAGGCATAAAAAGCAGTATGTGTGGTGGGAAGGAGATTAATAAAAAAGCATAGAGGTTAAAAAATTTAGTCTGAACTGCATCAAATTTTAATGAGCTTATGAGCTGTGGGGTTTGTTTGGATTTACAGGGCTGCTTTAATAGTTTTATTTACAGTAGCTTTTTCTCCAGCCTTTGTTATTCGCTTGAGCTTCCCACAGAAATCAAAGCTCATGGTCTTGCAGAATGCAGGTGGACCAATACCTGGGTGGAGCAGAGCCTCTGAGCAGCGTCTGCAACAGGGACTCTTTCTCTACCAGAATTCACCCCCAACTGGCCAAATCCCAGCTAAACAAATAGAAATCCCAACTTTAAAAAAAAAAAAAAAGAGAGAGGAAAAAAAAAAGGAGGGAAAAAAAGAAAAAGCCCTAGTCGTCTAATCCATAGCAGAGTGGCCTCTGGCACATGTGTCGAGGGGAGATTAGACTTAAGAGGAGATTTTATTTGTTTTCCTTTACTAAGCGCTTGTTCAAAAGAGTCTCTGTAAATATTTGAGTTGCTTTTCATAAACACAAAAAAAACCAAAAACCCCAACCTCAGACAAACCCCAAACTTGAAAGCTGCCTGTAAAGTTTTGTAAAAAAACCCCTCTCTTATCCGTACTGTCAGCAACTGCTCTCTGATTCTCAGAGCTTCCCCTGCTCTTCCTCAGGGTGACTCTCAGGTGCTGTAATAATCCATTTTCTCTTTGTTTCAGTCTTCCTCCCTCATCTCCAGTGCCACCGCCGCTGCGCTGTTGAGCTCTGGTGCTGTTGACTACTGTCTGCATGTGCTGAAGTCGTTGCTGGAGTACTGGAAGAGCCAGCAGAACGACGAGGAGCCTGTAGCCACCAGCCAGCTCCTCAAACCTCACACGACTTCTTCTCCACCTGACATGAGCCCTTTTTTCCTCCGCCAGTACGTGAAGGTGAGTCCTGCCCTGCGCTGTGAGCGCTACACAACCTGCCTGAAAAGGCTGCTGCACAGGAGCTAGGAGAATCATAGAATGGTCTAGGTTGGAAGAGACCCTTGGGATCATCGAGTCCAACCATCTCCCCTACTCTACAAAGTCCTCCCCTACACCATGTCCCTCAGCACTGCATCTAAACGGCCCTTAAACACAGCCAGGGATGGGGACTCCACCCCCTCCCTGGGCAGCCTGTTCCAATGCCCGACCACTCTTTCGGGGAAAAATTCCTTCCTAATGTTCAATCTAAACCTACCCTGTTGGAGCTTGAAGCCGTTCCCTCTCGTTCTGTCACTAATTACCTGTGAGAAGAGACCAGCACCAACCTCTCTACAGTGTCCTTTCATGTAGTTGTAGAGAGTGATGAGGTCTCCCCTCAGCCTCCTCTTCCTCACACTAAACAGCCCCAACTCCCTCAGCCGCTCCTCATACGATTTGTTTTCCAGCCCCCTCACCAGCTTCGTTGCCCTCCTCTGCACTCGCTCCAGCACCTCCAGATCTCTCTTGGATTGAGGTGCCCAAAACTGGACACAACACTCGAGGTGTGGCCTCCCCAGTGCTGAGTACAGGGGCACAATCACCTCCCTACTTCTGCTGGTCACACTATTTTTGATACAAAGTTCTTTGCAAAACTGGTTTTCCTTTAGTAGTGCAATTAAAATTTATTCCTTCAGTACATTCCTTCAGATTGCTCTGAGTTCTCTGAGAGAGCAGCCCAGTTGCGGTATCCATCAGTGCACTCCTAAACCAAGCAGTCTGTGGGGCTGCTCTCACTCTTTCTGGTTGTTAGTCTCCCTGAAGGGAAGCTACTCCGTCCCGTGACGCCTTTCCCTGGGCAGGCAGAGTTTCTGAACCATGGCTGCTTATCGTGGTGAGGAATCCTAGCACTCAGTGGGGATTCCCACATTAAATCCTAGCCTTGTTCAACCACCACCGTGTTTTTATGCTAAAATTCTGCTGGAGTCAGGGGGGCTTTGATACGTGTACAGGTGAGGTCAAAAAAGCTTAGTTAAATGTATATTTTCTAAATTGAAATCTCATATTAAAATACCTTATTATTACACATTAGCTTATTGCATCCTAATAGTTGCCATCTAGTTCAAGTTCTCATGCAGATTTGTTGGTTTCTTTTTATTTATCAACTGAGAGTGTTTCTTCTGGCTGCAAAGCAGCAGAAAGGCTTTGTTTTTAGAAGATCAATAAATGCAGCCTGTAGCTTGCCATGACATCACGCTGGAGTGTGCAGTCCCAGAGCCTGATGGGTTGCTCTTGCTTCCAGGGTCACGCTGCAGATGTTTTTGAGGCCTACACACAGCTCCTGACAGAGATGGTCCTGCGCCTGCCCTATCAGATCAAGAAGATCGCAGACACGAACTCCCGCATCCCACCTCCCATCTTCGATCACTCCTGGTTCTACTTTTTGTCTGAGGTAAGTGAGAACGTGATACACCTACAGATTTTAACAAAAAAAAATATTCCACTAATTTTACTGCTTATGGGAGAGATGAGCTTTTGCAGAACTGATCTCAGATCCATCTCTGATTTTTAATCCCCCTTGAAAGAAGGTGAACTGTTGGCTTTGTTTTATTCCTGTTGAACAGGAATCTGTAGGAAAGCATACGTGAAAAATAAGATTGATTTTATTTCCTGTAACTCAATGTTTGCTGCCAGAAAACTTGAATAGAAAACCTTCTCTGAGATGGCACAATGTAACATTGTGCTGGGCTGCTGGCACTTCGTCCTTATAAAAGAGATCAGTAAGATAATTGGGGTGTATGTTTTCAGTTCCTTTGGTTGTAGAACTTCCTACTTGAGATAACAAGTTATCTTACATTTGCACAAGTGCGGGGTAGGATTTCTTAATTAGACTTGACTAGCTTTTTATTGGAGGTCATAGATGGCAAAAAATGGTTTTCAGAAGCTGTTTCACAATCACAGAGTTTAGGATGCAGCGGTGCTGCTGTGCAGTGTTTTTTCTGCCTCTGATTTATGGGTGACTTTACCTTAAATGTGACAAATTCACGAATGCATCTCCCGTCTCTTTTCTTTTTGTAAGAAAACACACGATATTTTTGTTGGCACTGGTGAGTTCACAGTGCTGATGTTGTAGGCTTTTCTTTGTCTAGTACCTGATGATCCAGCAGACTCCGTTCGTGCGCCGCCAAGTCCGCAAGCTTTTGCTCTTTATCTGTGGATCAAAGGATAAGTACCGGCAGCTCAGAGACCTGCACACCTTGGACTCTCACGTTCGGGGAATCAAAAAGCTCCTGGAAGAGCAAGGCATTTTCCTTCGTGCCAGCGTGGTCACGGCGAGCTCGGGCTCTGCCCTGCAGTATGATACGTTGATCAGCTTGGTAAGGAGAAGTGTGCTGCTGCACGAGGGAAAAAGTGTGTGTTGCACTTGTGTATCAGTGATACAAATACTCACGTGGTGTTTAATCCTCTGCCTTTCAGATGGAACATCTAAAGGCCTGTGCGGAAATCGCCACGCAGCGAACAGTGAACTGGCAGAAATTCTGCATTAAAGACGACTGTGAGTTCTTTCTCTGAGAGTGTTTGAGGGAGCAGAGGGGATGCTTTACGTGTCCTGGTTTGAATCAAGACTCCTCAGATGGGGAAGCTCAGCAGAGAAAGGGGGACAGCTGAGAGTTTTGAGTAGGACTGAACTGTTTCCAGTACTAATTATCACACTGCTCTAATTGCATCTGTTCCTTACACAATATGGTGTAATGGATAACTTAAAAGAAGAGGAATAGGAGAGCTGTGTTCTCTTGCTTGCACTGCTGTTGTTCCAGGGTATAATTTGGGATGAAACATTTTACCTTCGTGTACTCAGGTGTAGGGACAGGAAGGTTCTGGGATGGTCCTTGTTGGGGTTCAAAGGGGTTTTTGTGTTCTTTGCAAAACTGGTTTTCCTTTAGTAGTGCAATTAAAATTTATTCCTTCAGTACATTCCTTCAGATTGCTCTGAGTTCTCTGAGAGAGCAGCCCAGTTGCGGTATCCATCAGTGCACTCCTAAACCAAGCGGTTTGTGGGGCTGCTCTCACTCTTTCTGGTTGTTAATCTCCCTGAAGGGAAGCTACTCCGTCCCGTGACGCCTTTCCCTGGGCAGGCAGAGTTTCTGAACCATGGCTGCTTATCGTGGTGAGGAATCCTAGCACTCAGTGGGGATTCCCACATTAAATCCTAGCCTTGTTCAACCACCACCGTGTTTTTATGCTAAAATTCTGCTGGAGTCAGGGGGGCTTTGATACGTGTACAGGTGAGGTCAAAAAAGCTTAGTTAAATGTATATTTTCTAAATTGAAATCTCATATTAAAATACCTTATTATTACACATTAGCTTATTGCATCCTAATAGTTGCCATCTAGTTCAAGTTCTCATGCAGATTTGTTGGCTGCTTTTTATTTATCAACTGAGAGCGTTTCTTCTGGCTGCAAAGCAGCAGAACAGCTTTGTTTTTAGAAGATCAATAAATGCAGCCTGTAGCTTGCCATGACATCACGCTGGAGTGTGCAGTCCCAGAGCCTGATGGGTTGCTCTTGCTTCCAGGGTCACGCTGCAGATGTTTTTGAGGCCTACACACAGCTCCTGACAGAGATGGTCCTGCGCCTGCCCTATCAGATCAAGAAGATCGCAGACACGAACTCCCGCATCCCACCTCCCATCTTCGATCACTCCTGGTTCTACTTTTTGTCTGAGGTAAGTGAGAACGTGATACACCTACAGATTTTAACAAAAAAAAATATTCCACTAATTTTACTGCTTATGGGAGAGATGAGCTTTTGCAGAACTGATCTCAGATCCATCTCTGATTTTTAATCCCCCTTGAAAGAAGGTGAACTGTTGGCTTTGTTTTATTCCTGTTGAACAGGAATCTGTAGGAAAGCATACGTGAAAAATAAGATTGATTTTATTTCCTGTAACTCAATGTTTGCTGCCAGAAAACTTGAATAGAAAACCTTCTCTGAGATGGCACAATGTAACATTGTGCTGGGCTGCTGGCACTTCGTCCTTATAAAAGAGATCAGTAAGATAATTGGGGTGTATGTTTTCAGTTCCTTTGGTTGTAGAACTTCCTACTTGAGATAACAAGTTATCTTTATTCCACTAATTTTACTGCTTATGGGAGAGATGAGCTTTTGCAGAACTGATCTCAGATCCATCTCTGATTTTTAATCCCCCTTGAAAGAAGGTGAACTGTTGGCTTTGTTTTATTCCTGTTGAACAGGAATCTGTAGGAAAGCATACGTGAAAAATAAGATTGATTTTATTTCCTGTAACTCAATGTTTGCTGCCAGAAAACTTGAATAGAGAACCTTCTCTGAGATGGCACAGTGTAACATTTTGCTGGGCTGCTGGCACTTAGTCCTTAAAAAAGAGATCAGTAAGATAATTGGAGTGTATGTTTTCAGTTCCTTTGGTTGTTGAACTTCCTACTTGAGATAACAAGTTATCTTACATTTGCACAAGTGCGGGGTAGGATTTCTTAATTAGACTTGACTAGCTTTTTATTGGAGGCCATAGATGACAAAAAATGCTTTTCAGAAGCTGTTTCACAATTGCAGAGTTCAGGATGCAGCGGTGCTGCTGTGCAGTGGTTTTTCTGCCTCTGATTTATGGGTGACTTTACCTTAAATTTACATTTGCACAAGTGCGGGGTAGGATTTCTTAATTAGACTTGACTAGCTTTTTATTGGAGGTCATAGATGGCAAAAAATGGTTTTCAGAAGCTGTTTCACAATCACAGAGTTTAGGATGCAGCGGTGCTGCTGTGCAGTGTTTTTTCTGCCTCTGATTTATGGGTGACTTTACCTTAAATGTGACAAATTCACGAATGCATCTCCCGTCTCTTTTCTTTTTGTAAGAAAACACACGATATTTTTGTTGGCACTGGTGAGTTCACAGTGCTGATGTTGTAGGCTTTTCTTTGTCTAGTACCTGATGATCCAGCAGACTCCGTTCGTGCGCCGCCAAGTCCGCAAGCTTTTGCTCTTTATCTGTGGATCAAAGGATAAGTACCGGCAGCTCAGAGACCTGCACACCTTGGACTCTCACGTTCGGGGAATCAAAAAGCTCCTGGAAGAGCAAGGCATTTTCCTTCGTGCCAGCGTGGTCACGGCGAGCTCGGGCTCTGCCCTGCAGTATGATACGTTGATCAGCTTGGTAAGGAGAAGTGTGCTGCTGCACGAGGGAAAAAGTGTGTGTTGCACTTGTGTATCAGTGATACAAATACTCACGTGGTGTTTAATCCTCTGCCTTTCAGATGGAACATCTAAAGGCCTGTGCGGAAATCGCCACGCAGCGAACAGTGAACTGGCAGAAATTCTGCATTAAAGACGACTGTGAGTTCTTTCTCTGAGAGTGTTTGAGGGAGCAGAGGGGATGCTTTACGTGTCCTGGTTTGAATCAAGACTCCTCAGATGGGGAAGCTCAGCAGAGAAAGGGGGACAGCTGAGAGTTTTGAGTAGGACTGAACTGTTTCCAGTACTAATTATCACACTGCTCTAATTGCATCTGTTCCTTACACAATATGGTGTAATGGATAACTTAAAAGAAGAGGAATAGGAGAGCTGTGTTCTCTTGCTTGCACTGCTGTTGTTCCAGGGTATAATTTGGGATGAAACATTTTACCTTCGTGTACTCAGGTGTAGGGACAGGAAGGTTCTGGGATGGTCCTTGTTGGGGTTCAAAGGGGTTTTTGGTTTGGGCTGGGGTTTCTTTAATTGCTTTTTTTAATTCAAACTTCAAAGATTTTCTTCTTCTCTCTGCAGCGGTTCTCTATTTCCTCCTTCAAGTCAGCTTCCTGGTAGATGAGGGAGTGTCTCCAGTTCTCCTGCAGCTGCTCTCTTGTGCTCTGTGTGGCAGCAAAGTGCTGTCTGTGGCTTCATCCTCTGGATCATCCAGCACCTCTTCTGCCTCCGCTCCTGCAGCTTCAGGCTCCGGGCAGCCGGCGACACAGAGCAAATCCTCCACTAAAAAGAGCAAGAAAGAGGAAAAGGAAAAGGAGCGAGAGGGTGAGCTGCAGCTGTGCCCTGTTCTGTGGTGTTTTTTAAGGGATGGACTGCTCCTCTCAGCCTTTCTTATTTCTGGTTGCTTCTTCTTGTGATAAATACCACTGTTGTGAAAGGGTCATGGATTGTGGCAAGGGCACTTGCAGGCTTCAGCAATAATTAGGAGAAAAGAGTAGTTTTCCCGTATGTTGATTGGAAAGGAGCAAAGACAGAGCTGTGTGCCCTAAGAGTTGGGGCTGAAGTTCAGTGCTGAGTGTATCCCTAACACACTATGACTATTTATTAACTTGACTGGGCTTTAAGTTACCTAATGTAAATGGCCTGTTCCAGTGACCAAGTAACTTTTGCCTAATTTGGCTGTTCTGGGCTGTAGGAGGTTGAAATGCTCACAGGGATTAAACTACGTACTGGAGATGCACACCCAGTTAGCTCTGCTCAACAATTGTGTTCAGACTTGTTTCCTCTCTCGGACTTGTTAAGCTTCTGTTGGAGCCAGGGCTGCTGTTTAATGGGTACCCAAAGTCCTGGGAAAGTAATTAAGCTTTCCTATAAAAGTCATGGGCATAAATTCTCTTTTGGCTTTTCCTCAAGGAACCGTTTTGGCTTTCTCTATCAGACGATTCTCTGTGAATCTTTTCTCCACCCCATAGTTGATCCTTTTCTTTTTATCAGGATGTGAAGCACATTTCTCAAGTCCTTACTGGCAACTTTTCCAGCAGTTTTCTTCTGTGTTAGTCAGGTTATATTTTTTGGAAAAAGAAAGGAACATTAAATTTGCTTGTTGCCTGAAACACAGTAATTTGTCCAGATTGTCTTTGCTCTATCATCTATAAAACAGCAAACTGGCCTGCCATCTGGTTTTTAAAGTCTGTCTTTTCTTTTGCCACCCCGTGTCCCCTAGGCGAGGGTTCGGGCAGTCAGGAGGACCAGCTGTGCACAGCTCTGGTGAACCAACTGAACAAGTTTGCTGACAAGGAGACCCTCATTCAGTTCCTGCGTTGCTTCTTGCTGGAGTCCAACTCGTCCTCCGTGCGGTGGCAGGCCCACTGCCTCGCGCTCCACATCTACAGGTGAGCAGGGAGGTGACCTACCTGGCTCTCCTCAGCCAGTCTGAGCTCAGTTTTGGGGAGCTCTGTCCTTGTGGAAGAGTTAATGCTTGAGCCTCCATCCTGAAGGATGCTGAGGCTTCAGCAGGTTGAGGGAGGTGACTCGGACCCTCTGCTCCGCTCTGGTGAGACCCTACCTGGAGTCCAGCTCTGGAGTCCTCAGTACAGGAGGGACATGGAGCTGTTGGAGCGGGGCCAGAGGAGGCCACAAAGATGCTGGGAGGGCTGGAGCCCCTCTGCTGTGAGGGGGTGCTGAGAGAGTTGGGGGGATTCAGCCTGGAGAAGAGAAGGCTCCGGGGAGACCTTCCAGCCCCTTCCAGTCCCTCAAGGGGCTCCAGGAAAGCTGGGGAGGGACTCTGGATCAGGGAGGGGAGCCATAGGAGGAGAGGGAAGGGTTTGACACTGAAAGAGGGGAGATTTGCATTAGATCTGGGGAAAAATTGCTTTGGTGTGAGGGTGGTGAGAGCCTGGCCCAGGTTGCCCAGAGAAGCTGTGGCTGCCCCATCCCTGGAGGGGTTCAAGGGCAGGTTGGAGGGGGCTTGGAGGGACCTGGTGTGGTGGGAGGTGTCCCTGCCCAGGGCAGGGGTGGCACTGGGTGGGCTTTAAGGTCCCTTCCAACCCAAACCATTCTGTGATCCCGTTGAGTTGCTCATATGGTTTTGCAGTTACTGGGGCTGGAGGTAGGAGTTAGAGTTAAATATTGACTTCTTTGTTACTGATCAGCTTGAATTATCATCTGCAAGAAGCATTTTATTTCTGTCTGCAGAATCTGGCTCCTGCCATCTGTCGGAGTAGGTACTTGTGGGAGAGTAAATTTGGGAGGCAAGTGCAGGTTCATACGGTTGAAAAGATGGGAGCCACATAGGGAAAGGCACATTTCAGAGAGCTGGGCTCCTTCAGGACTCTGCGCAGTTGTTCCAAGGCAGCTGCTTTCATTGCAGAACGGGTGGGAAAGCTGCTGGGGGCAGGAGGAGATGAGATTTAACTCTGTGAACTCTGATGCATAACAAGATAATAGTTCCCAAGTTTGATGAACCATAACATGTATCTTCCTTTAGAATAAGATTGTGTGCGATGCAGTCTGTGCAGGTATCTGTACAAGCCTAATTGATACATAATCCATTCAACAGGAACTCTAACAAGTCTCAGCAGGAATTGCTGTTGGATCTCATGATTTGATGAAACCAGAACATGTATTTTCCTTTAGAATAAGATCGTGTGCGATGCAGTTTATACAGGTATCTGTACAAGCCTAATTGATACATAATCCATTCTACAGGAACTCTAACAAGTCTCAGCAGGAACTGCTGTTGGATCTCATGTGGTCCATCTGGCCGGAACTTCCTGCCTATGGAAGAAAGGCTGCCCAGTTCGTAGATCTCCTGGGATATTTCTCTCTGAAAACACAGCAGACTGAGAAAAAGGTATGGTGAAGGGGAGGTGCAGCATCCCAGGTCCTGCTGCTTCCTGTGAAGTGTGTTAGTGCTCGTTTATGATACAGCTGGAACAGATTTTCTGTCGAAGGAGCTTCTGGTGGAAATTTTTTTGTTCCCAAAATTTGAATTGCAGGATCCTTAAAAACTGAGGAGTGTGGATTTTACTTTTATTGTTTTGGGGTTTTTGTTGTGGGTTTTTAAATTATTTTTAAGAAATCTTCTTTCCTACAGGAAGGCTTTGTGGAAAAAAACGTTTATCTGCTAGCTCTAATTTTTAGATTTTTGATATTTCAGCTCCTAGAAATCTCTTGTAACCACGACTTTCAAACAAGGGAAGTGATAGGATTTCTTCGGGGACCAGTGGGCTTGAGAACAAGTAATTTAGACACACTGATACACGTGTATGTGTAAAGAGCTGGGAATGCCTTACGGATCTTGGCAGGCATTTGCAGTGATCCAGCTCTGGAGTCCTCAGTACAGGAGGGACATGGAGCTGTTGGAGCGGGGCCAGAGGAGGCCACAAAGATGCTGGGAGGGCTGGAGCCCCTCTGCTGTGAGGGGGTGCTGAGAGAGTTGGGGGGATTCAGCCTGGAGAAGAGAAGGCTCCGGGGAGACCTTCCAGCCCCTTCCAGTCCCTCAAGGGGCTCCAGGAAAGCTGGGGAGGGACTCTGGATCAGGGAGGGGAGCCATAGGAGGAGAGGGAAGGGTTTGACACTGAAAGAGGGGAGATTTGCATTAGATCTGGGGAAAAATTGCTTTGGTGTGAGGGTGGTGAGAGGCTGGCCCGAATTGCTTTGCTGTGAGGGTGGTGAGAGCCTGGCCCAGGTTGCCCCGAGAAGCTGTGGCTGCCCCATCCCTGGAGGGGTTCAAGGGCAGGTTGGAGGGGGCTTGGAGGGACCTGGTGTGGTGGGAGGTGTCCCTGCCCAGGGCAGGGGTGGCACTGGGTGGGCTTTAAGGTCCCTTCCAACCCAAACCATTCTGTGATCCCGTTGAGTTGCTCATATGGTTTTGCAGTTACTGGGGCTGGAGGTAGGAGTTAGAGTTAAATATTGACTTCTTTGTTACTGATCAGCTTGAATTATCATCTGCAAGAAGCATTTTATTTCTGTCTGCAGAATCTGGCTCCTGCCATCTGTCGGAGTAGGTACTTGTGGGAGAGTAAATTTGGGAGGCAAGTGCAGGTTCATACGGTTGAAAAGATGGGAGCCACATAGGGAAAGGCACATTTCAGAGAGCTGGGCTCCTTCAGGACTCTGCGCAGTTGTTCCAAGGCAGCTGCTTTCATTGCAGAACGGGTGGGAAAGCTGCTGGGGGCAGGAGGAGATGAGATTTAACTCTGAACTCTGATGCATAACAAGATAATAGTTCCCAAATTTGATGAAACCAGAACATGTATTTTCCTTTAGAATAAGATCGTGTGCGATGCAGTTTATACAGGTATCTGTACAAGCCTAATTGATACATAATCCATTCTACAGGAACTCTAACAAGTCTCAGCAGGAACTGCTGTTGGATCTCATGTGGTCCATCTGGCCGGAACTTCCTGCCTATGGAAGAAAGGCTGCCCAGTTCGTAGATCTCCTGGGATATTTCTCTCTGAAAACACAGCAGACTGAGAAAAAGGTATGGTGAAGGGGAGGTGCAGCATCCCAGGTCCTGCTGCTTCCTGTGAAGTGTGTTAGTGCTCGTTTATGATACAGCTGGAACAGATTTTCTGTCGAAGGAGCTTCTGGTGGAAATTTTTTTGTTCCCAAAATTTGAATTGCAGGATCCTTAAAAACTGAGGAGTGTGGATTTTACTTTTATTGTTTTGGGGTTTTTGTTGTGGGTTTTTAAATTATTTTTAAGAAATCTTCTTTCCTACAGGAAGGCTTTGTGGAAAAAAACGTTTATCTGCTAGCTCTAATTTTTAGATTTTTGATATTTCAGCTCCTAGAAATCTCTTGTAACCACGACTTTCAAACAAGGGAAGTGATAGGATTTCTTCGGGGACCAGTGGGCTTGAGAACAAGTAATTTAGACACACTGATACACGTGTATGTGTAAAGAGCTGGGAATGCCTTACGGATCTTGGCAGGCATTTGCAGTGATTGGCTGGTGAATAGCATTGTTATTGTGCTAAAGGTCTAATTTTAGGATCTATTGCATTCCCAGGTGATGATTTAACCACATCAATTCCTGTGGGTACAGCATGTGCATCTTCTAGGGGATCTGGAATGGCACAAGATGAGATATGTTTATGTCTTTGTAGCAATAAGAAAAACTGTTGAGATGACAATTATTTTCCTGTTTGCATTTCAGCTGAAGGAATACTCCCAAAAGGCTGTGGAGATCCTCCGCACTCAAAACCACATTCTTACCAACCACCCCAACTCCAACATTTACAAGTGAGTTACTTCTGACTGATCCATTTCACTAAAGGAGGTTTTTAGCAGAGGAGCTGGGATCCCCAGGGGGACACACAATTCTTCTGAGGAGGTGGTGGTGGAGGAAGGAGCCCTGCTGAGATTGGGGCTCGCTGCAGCTCGTCTTGGGAGAACAGCAGATTCCTCCCTGCCATCTCAAACATCGGATATTCCATCCACTATCAGCAGTAATTTTTTTGGCTTTGGCTTTTTTGCTTTTATTTTAGGTAAATGTTACAAAATGCTAGGAACGATTGGGCTGGAGGTAAGAGTAAGAGTTAAATATTGACTTATTTGTTACTGATCAGCTTGAATTATCATCTGCAAGAAGCATTTTATTTCTGTCTGCAGAATCTGGCTCCTGCCATCTGTCGGAGTAGGTACTTGTGGGAGAGTGAATTTGGGAGGCAAGTGCAGGTTCATACGGTTGAAAAGATGGGAGCCACATAGGGAAAGGCACATTTCAGAGAGCTGGGCTCCTTCAGGACTCTGCGCAGTTGTTCCAAGGCAGCTGCTTTCATTGCAGAACGGGTGGGAAAGCTGCTGGGGGCAGGAGGAGATGAGATTTAACTCTGTGAACTCTGATGCATAACAAGATAATAGTTCCCAAGTTTGATGAACCATAACATGTATCTTCCTTTAGAATAAGATTGTGTGCGATGCAGTCTGTGCAGGTATCTGTACAAGCCTAATTGATACATAATCCATTCAACAGGAACTCTAACAAGTCTCAGCAGGAATTGCTGTTGGATCTCATGTGGTCCATCTGGCCGGAACTTCCTGCCTATGGAAGAAAGGCTGCCCAGTTCGTAGATCTCCTGGGATATTTCTCTCTGAAAACACAGCAGACTGAGAAAAAGGTATGGTGAAGGGGAGGTGCAGCATCCCAGGTCCTGCTGCTTCCTGTGAAGTGTGTTAGTGCTCGTTTATGATACAGCTGGAACAGATTTTCTGTCGAAGGAGCTTCTGGTGGAAATTTTTTTGTTCCCAAAATTTGAATTGCAGGATCCTTAAAAACTGAGGAGTGTGGATTTTACTTTTATTGTTTTGGGGTTTTTGTTGTGGGTTTTTAAATTATTTTTAAGAAATCTTCTTTCCTACAGGAAGGCTTTGTGGAAAAAAACGTTTATCTGCTAGCTCTAATTTTTAGATTTTTGATATTTCAGCTCCTAGAAATCTCTTGTAACCACGACTTTCAAACAAGGGAAGTGATAGGATTTCTTCGGGGACCAGTGGGCTTGAGAACAAGTAATTTAGACACACTGATACACGTGTATGTGTAAAGAGCTGGGAATGCCTTACGGATCTTGGCAGGCATTTGCAGTGATTGGCTGGTGAATAGCATTGTTATTGTGCTAAAGGTCTAATTTTAGGATCTATTGCATTCCCAGGTGATGATTTAACCACATCAATTCCTGTGGGTACAGCATGTGCATCTTCTAGGGGATCTGGAATGGCACAAGATGAGATATGTTTATGTCTTTGTAGCAATAAGAAAAACTGTTGAGATGACAATTATTTTCCTGTTTGCATTTCAGCTGAAGGAATACTCCCAAAAGGCTGTGGAGATCCTCCGCACTCAAAACCACATTCTTACCAACCACCCCAACTCCAACATTTACAAGTGAGTTACTTCTGACTGATGCATTTCACTAAAGGAGGTTTTTAGCAGAGGAGCTGGGATCCCCAGGGGGACACACAATTCTTCTGAGGAGGTGGTGGTGGAGGAAGGAGCCCTGCTGAGATTGGGGCTCGCTGCAGCTCGTCTTGGGAGAACAGCAGATTCCTCCCTACCATCTCAAACATGGGATATTCCATCCACTATCAGCAGTAATTTTTTTGGCTTTGGCTTTTTTGCTTTTATTTTAGGTAAATGTTACAAAATGCTAGGAACGATTGGAAAATACAGACTTGCAGAATTGTTGTGTTTTCATACCTTTCATACCTAATAATTACACTAAAATGCTGCCTAGTGAAATGTGCTTTACATTGTAAGGCTTCTGTTACTATATATGGGATGGCACTACAGGTAAATAAAAGTGTTCTGATTTTAGAGGCTTGTGTTTGAAGTCCAGTGAATGGCAAATGACATGTGTTGATGTTCTTGCCCTCATTCCAGCACGCTGTCTGGGCTGGTGGAATTTGATGGCTATTACCTGGAGAGCGATCCTTGCCTTGTCTGCAACAATCCAGAGGTGCCCTTCTGTGTAAGTAACCGCTGTTCTTAATCCCTTCCCTATTTTAGGGATCCCAGCTATTTCCAGCAGCGTGATTTGCTGTTTTTCTGAGGTTTTGGGGATGTAGAGGCAGCTTGTCCTTGGTTTTGTCTCCTCAGTACATCAAGCTTTCCTCCATCAAAGTGGACACGCGGTACACTACCACCCAGCAAGTGGTGAAACTCATCGGCAGCCACACCATCAGCAAAGTGACAGTGAAGATAGGAGACCTGAAACGAACCAAAATGGTCCGAACCATCAACCTCTACTACAACAACAGGACAGTGCAGGCCATAGTGGAGCTGAAAAACAAGTACGTTTGTCCGTGGCTTTTGTGGGCAAGTCTCTGAATTTGACATTATGATTTCTGTTGAGGTGCCTGACTTCTTGTTTTAACTAACCTTCCTTCTCAGACTATTACTTAACACTGTCGGCCCACATTTGATGGGATTGTTCTAAAACTCCTACAATAAATTGTTGAAGAAAAGATGCAGATTTCACCTCGAGCTTAAAATACTCCTGTCAAATTTGTGTGTGCAGACTTTGTGCAGGCTCCATTTGAAGCACATGACTTAATTGTATGAAAGCCAGTATTTATACTGAGAGCACCTGGAGAATTTGACTCGGGAAGGGCTGTGGATGTTTGCAGCACGTCCACAAACGCGGAAAGCATCAGAATGATTTGTTTGAAGCCACATGAAGCCAATAGTAGAATTAAAATTTAGAAGCTGGACGGCCTAACGCTCGGCTGCTGCTTTCCCCACAAAAAAATGGCTCCTTTTCAATACATTGCTCAGTCTGGAGCCAGTTCTGCTTATATGCTTTCCCTTCTTACTTCTTGAGATGTTCTCACCAGAATCAGATCTCTCTGGCTTAGGGATTAATCTGTGCCTGCCGCTTATTGCTTATTTGAAGTCTTAATCCTCTGTGACATCACAAGTGGCTGCTGTGGAGAGGATTATGATGTCACAAAGAGAGGATTCTGACTTCAGGTTGAGAATAAGCAGTGGGAGCAGATGAGATCTTTAGAAATAAATATCCTGTTTTCATGCAAATGTCCTTACTAATAAAAAAATGGAGGTGAAAATCCCTAGAAAATGTCTGTAGAATTAAAGTTTTTCCATGAGGCATCAACAGCTCTTTAATCCTAAACAGTCTCTCTCTATGAAGAGGATAAAGGCTTAAAATGTATTTCTGGCTACATATCATGTCAATACAGAAGCTAAGGAAACGAATCCTAGAACTGCTCTCCATTCATCCCATTTAAAGTAGATTTGGAGCTGAGACGGTTGCATTTGGCTTCTCTTTGTGGGCAGGGAGGAAGGTGCTTCCCCACTGGAAAAAAAAAAAACCCGTGTCTCTTCCTTTCCTTTTCCCAGGCCGGCTCGTTGGCACAAAGCTAAAAAAGTCCAGCTGACCCCAGGGCAGACGGAGGTGAAGATTGATTTGCCTCTGCCCATCGTGGCTTCCAACCTGATGATTGAATTTGCTGATTTCTATGAGAATTACCAAGCTTCCACCGAGACCCTGCAGTGTCCCCGGTGCAGCGCCTCCGTCCCGGCCAACCCGGGGGTGTGTGGCAACTGCGGTGAAAACGTGTACCAGTGTCACAAGTGCAGGTAGGTTGGCCTTCATCTCCCTTCCTCCCCACAGAGCCAGTGCCAGGGGAGGTTTACACAGCCCCTTGTGCTGTTGCCCGAGTTGGATGTTCAACAAAATACCCTGCGATTGAAATACACGATTCTGGGTAATACAACCCCACAATCAAATTAGTGGGGAAGTATAAAACAGGCTTACAGGGATTTAAGGTTAATGCAGGCGAACAAAGGAAACCTGAGAGGGCGATACTGCAAGAAGGCAGAAGTTTCAGATTGAGCCCTCAGAAGTTTAAAAAAGACAGTTCCCCCGAGGAGGTTATTTTTGGCCTGTTTGAGGGCGTGAGGCTGGAGTTTGATTGTGGGATGGCAGGGGGTGTCCCTGCAGGATCCCTGACTTAACGTGCTGGACAGACAGTGCTCGCTTGTCTCTTCAGAGCTTTTGTTGTGCTCTCCTCATTCAGAGCAGGGCTCAGGGCAGAATTTACTGTGTGCTATTCAAGCTTTCACTACAGTATTATAAATCCTTCTCTTTTGTGAGTTTTGTCTCCTGATCTGACATCTCTTCTCCCCTTATTGTTGTCCCGTATTTCCCTGTAATCCTCAGCGAATTCAAGGTGTTGGGCAGATACTTGCCACAGAGCAGGTGATTACTGGAATATTGAAAGGTTTCCACGTATCTTCTTGAATTATGGGAGCTATAAATCTCTTCGTGTCGTGCTACTCTGCTCGGTGGCAGGGTAATAAGTATGCTGTAGCTCGTCCCACTGCAACGGGGTGAAGACTGAAAGCTGTTGAAAGCTTAGTCCTTGCAAACCAAAATTGTTTCCTTTTATCTGTGTTCTTGCTAAGGGCACAGTGCCCTACTCTGATGTTCTGCTGGGAATTACTGTCGTTCAAGTAGAATTGTTAGGAACACATTCACATCTGTTTCTGCTTTTGTCGGCCAGAATGTGGCACCACTTGTGTAAGGGCTTTTTTGTTGCCTGATTTGTAGGTTTTGATTCTCTTGTGTTTCACTTGTGGCTCCCTCAGGGCAGTTTGGAGGCTCAGACCTTTTAAGGGTCGTTCTTCTCTTTTTACCTACTGAGTCCATTCACAGCTCCCTTCATTGCCTCGGTTACCTTGATAAAGCTCAGCTGAGTTCTTTGCCCTTTCCAACTTGCCTTTCAGATCCATTAATTATGACGAGAAAGATCCCTTCCTTTGCAATGCCTGTGGGTTCTGCAAATACGCTCGCTTTGACTTCATGTTGTACGCCAAGCCCTGCTGCGCCGTGGATCCCATAGAAAACGAAGAGGATCGGAAGAAGGTGAGACTAAGAGCAGGTTCATCCATGAGATGCTGCATCTCTTGGCCAGGTCAGCAGCTTAGGGACATCAGAGGTCCATCCCTCTTGGGATTAACAGAAGCAGGATGTGGGATGACCCTTTGTTTTTTTCCAGAAAAGGGCAAAAGAGGTGAAAGCCTTGGAGGTTGGTAGTTTGTAGAATTGAAAAATCATGTCTGAACGTAAAATGAGAGTTTTCCTTTCCTTTTTTACTCTCAGGCAGTAACAAATATCAACACTCTCCTGGACAAGGCTGACAGAGTGTACCACCAGCTGATGGGCCACCGGATGCTGATGCAGCAGCATAGGGACATCAGAGGTCCATCCCTCTTGGGGTTAACAGAAGCAGGATGTGGGATGACCCTTTGTTTTTTTCCAGAAAAGGGCAAAAGAGGTGAAAGCCTTGGAGGTTGGTAGTTTGTAGAATTAAAAAATCATGTCTGAACATAAAATAAGAGTTTTCCTTTCCTTTTTTACTCTCAGGCAGTAACAAATATCAACACTCTCCTGGACAAGGCTGACAGAGTGTACCACCAGCTGATGGGCCACCGACCGCAGCTGGAAAACCTGCTGTGTAAAGTGAATGAGGCGGCTCCTGAAAAGCCCCAGGTAAGAAGGGACAGAGGGATCTTACCCAGAACTCCAGGCTGGTGGGACACTGGGCTTTGTACTTCCAAGAACAACAAAAGCTCCTTGCCTCCCATGCTGTTCTGCAGTAGTTAATTTTGTGTGTAGCCTCCATATGTGATTCCTTTTTGTTTTCCCCTCTGTTCCAGGCACCCAGAACTCCGGGCTGGTGGGACACTGGGCTTTGTACTGCCAAGAACAACGAAAGCTCCTTGCCTCCCACGCTGTTCTGCAGTAGTTAATTTTGTGTGTAGCCTCCATATGTGATTCCTTTTTGTTTTCCCCTCTGTTCCAGGATGAATCTGGGAGCAGTGGAGGGATAAGTTCTACCTCAGCCAGTGTGAATAGATATATACTCCAGTTAGCCCAAGAGTATTGTGGTGACTGCAAGAACTCTTTCGATGAACTCTCCAAAATCATCCAGGTATGATGTGCTTTGATTTGAATTTGGGTCTTCTGTTTTCTTCTATCACTGGATACACAGCATATCAGAACTAGAAAGTAAGATGTTGCTATTCAGAGTTCAATTATATCGTTAACAATAGGTGTCAGCTGCATGTTTTCATGGAAGTAACAAATTAATCATTTCTAAAAGCTATGGTTGCTGTGGATTTGTCACATTTCCAGTGTTACATTGCATGTAATGTAGGCAACAAGCCCTTAAACAGGGCAGAGGGACTAAGTCCCCCACAGGGACTTAGGCTGGTGTTTCTAATGGATTTCCCAAGTCTCCCATTGTCATGAAAGATTTCAAGTTCTAAGATACTTGATTTCTCCACAAAATATAGAGTGAAAATAACCTGAGTGGGATGAACAATCACGCGCTGCCTCGCAATTCCACAACTTTCATTTCTCCTTTTCCATATTTCCAGAAAGTGTTTGCCTCTCGAAAGGAACTCCTGGAATATGATCTCCAACAGAGAGAGGCAGCAACGAAGAGCTCCCGAACCACTGTCCAGCCCACCTTCACTGCCAGCCAGTACCGTGCCTTGTCCGTCTTGGGCTGTGGCCACACGTCATCCACTAAATGCTACGGCTGTGCCTCCGCCGTCACCGAGCACTGCATAACGTTGCTCCGGGCTTTGGCCACCAACTCTGCCATCAGGCACATCCTTGTGTCCCAGGGCCTTATCCGAGAGCTTTTTGACTACAACCTGCGCCGGGGCGCGGCCACCATGCGGGAGGAGGTCCGGCAGCTCATGTGCCTTCTCACCAGGTGAGATCTGATGTGGCTTTTGCAACCCTCTGACTTCCAGTGAGCTCTGGAAATGCACCTGGGTGTAAATTCACAACCAGGAGGGAGTAGCTTTATAGAAGAGATGTCTTACATCAGCAAACTGTAGATGTAACTGCTTGTAATTTGTTACCAACTAAACTGAAATCCCAGGAGTTCTTGGTATTTAGTAGGAGCACAGCATAACAGTGTTCTTTTTTTTTCCTTCTGGAATTAGGGACAATCCAGAGGCCACGCAGCAAATGAATGACTTAATCATTGGGAAGGTTTCTGCAGCTCTGAAGGGACACTGGGCAAATCCAGACTTGGTGAGAGACTCCACTCTTTCCCTATTTCTTTTTTCTCCCCTTCTGTGACTGCTGGTGTATTCGAATCACTGAGGCTTCTCTATTATCATGGTCTATTTGTAGTACAGAAGGTGTCTGTGTCTTGATAGGAGTTAAGATAAATGTTAGAGTAAAGCATAAAATGATGTGATGAGGTTTCCTCAGGCGGTTCTGCCTGTCTTGGCTGTTGCTTGCAGCTCTCAAATCGGTCGTCCCAGACGGGCATGGGATTAAATTGACTTAGATCCATATGTTTTGAACCTGTGTTTTTTTAAATATCAGAAGGCAAAAAGGACTGCTGGCTGCTTCACCAGGGCTTCTGAAGCCTTTGAACGTGTGTCTGTGTTACAGGCTAGCAGCCTCCAGTATGAAATGTTGCTGCTGACAGATTCCATCTCGAAGGAAGACAGTTGCTGGGAGCTCCGACTGCGTTGTGGTGAGTTCAAAAGATAGTGTGAAAGCTTTATTTTAAAATGCTCGGCCCAGGTCTGTGCACTGTAATAAGATTTATTTCTTTTTTAAGGAAGGGAACTGATTCTGACTCAGTTTATGATTAGGGTTAAAAGTGGAGTTAGCACCAGAGAGCTTTGCTTTGGGGTAGTGTGTTTCTTGAGACAGGAGCACTGAAAGATGGAAAGATGGAGGCTGGAAGGGAAGGATGGCAACACTCTCCTGCAATAATAAAAAATAATTGTTTTCCATCCATGGCTGCATGAGAATGTGATAGTTTTGCTTCAGGAGATGAGGTCTTGCCTAACTCTAAACACTTTTAGTGTGCTGTGTAGAGCTGTGGAGGTGTCCTGTCTACAGATCTTACAGTGGAATGAAAATTTGCGTCTGTCTTTCAGCTCTCAGCCTCTTCCTGATGAGGAGGTAGTAGGTTTATAGAGGAGATGTCTTACATCAGCAAACTGTAGATGTAACTGCTTGTAATTTGTTACCAACTAAACTGAAATCCCAGGAGTTCTTGGTATTTAGTAGGAGCACAGCATAACAGTGTTCTTTTTTTTTCCTTCTGGAATTAGGGACAATCCAGAGGCCACACAGCAAATGAATGACTTAATCATTGGGAAGGTTTCTGCAGCTCTGAAGGGACACTGGGCAAATCCAGACTTGGTGAGAGACTCCACTCTTTCCCTATTTCTTTTTTCTCCCCTTCTGTGACTGCTGGTGTATTCGAATCACTGAGGCTTCTCTATTATCATGGTCTATTTGTAGTACAGAAGGTGTCTGTGTCTTGATAGGAGTTAAGATAAATGTTAGAGTAAAGCATAAAATGATGTGATGAGGTTTCCTCAGGCGGTTCTGCCTGTCTTGGCTGTTGCTTGCAGCTCTCAAATCGGTCGTCCCAGACGGGCATGGGATTAAATTGACTTAGATCCATATGTTTTGAACCTGTGTTTTTTTAAATATCAGAAGGCAAAAAGGACTGCTGGCTGCTTCACCAGGGCTTCTGAAGCCTTTGAACGTGTGTCTGTGTTACAGGCTAGCAGCCTCCAGTATGAAATGTTGCTGCTGACAGATTCCATCTCGAAGGAAGACAGTTGCTGGGAGCTCCGACTGCGTTGTGGTGAGTTCAAAAGATAGTGTGAAAGCTTTATTTTAAAATGCTCGGCCCAGGTCTGTGCACTGTAATAAGATTTATTTCTTTTTTAAGGAAGGGAACCGATTCTGACTCAGTTTATGATTAGGGTTAAAAATGGAGTTAGCACCAGAGAGCTTTGCTTTGGGGTAGTGTGTTTCTTGAGACAGGAGCACTGAAAGATGCAGAATAGGATGAAGGATGGAGGTGGGAAGGGAAGGATGGCAACACTCTCTTGCCATAATAAAAAATAATTGTTTTCCATCCATGGCTGCATGAGAATGTGATAGTTTTGCTTGAGGAGATGAGGTCTTGCCTAACTCTAAACACTTTTAGTGTGCTGTGTGGAGCAGTGGGGGTGTCCTATCTGCAGATCTTACAGTGAAATGAAAATTTGCATCTGTCTTTCAGCTCTCAGCCTCTTCCTGATGGCAGTGAACATTAAGACTCCAGTGGTTGTTGAAAACATCACCCTCATGTGCCTGCGCATTCTTCAAAAGCTGATCAAGCCACCTGCTCCAACCAGCAAGAAAAACAAGGTACTGCCTTAGATGTTGAGCAAAGCATCTGAAAATTTGCTGATTAAAGTCTGGCACACCGATCTCAGTGATTAATAACCTTGTGAGGAAGCTGGGGCTTGCTTCTGCTGGTCATGGTTACTAGGAAGGCACAAGCCCTGTCACTCTTGTCTTTGCAAACTGCAAATTACAGGCCATTGCTTTCTTTTTTTTGCAGTTCTTTGGTGGCTTAGACCACTACTATTCAAACCCCAACTTTGCGTTTTTCCACTCAGATTTGGGGCATGGGAAAAGAGCTACTTCAAAGCTAGGCTTGGTTATTTTGGGTGGACTTTCGGTGCTTTCAGCAGCTTTGTAGAATCAAGTACCTTTGACTCAAATTTTGAAATTCAAAGGTACGGTTCTGATAAAAATGGTATTGATTGGCTGCTTCTTGATTGTCATTTAGGATAACACTTGCAAGGGAGCAGATTTGTTTCTGCTTTGGTCTAGCTGTCTGGTGATCACAGAGGGGTGATAAAGATGGGTTTCCATGTATTTCAGTAGTAACTGGAACGAAGCATCTCTCTTAATTTATCACTAAGAGAAACTGTATTACCCTGCTGTTGTCCAAAAGCTGCATTTGCTTATTCACGGAGCAGACACAACGAGTGATTCACCTGCAGGAGTTATTCTTAGGGGAACAGGCTGTGGCTTTCTGAAAAATCATAGAGCTTTTTTGTTCATTAGGATGTGCCTGTGGATGCTCTCACCACTGTGAAGCCTTACAGCAACGAAATCCATGCACAAGCTCAGCTGTGGCTTAAGAGGGACCCCAAAGCATCATATGAAGCTTGGAAAAAGTGCCTCCCTGCCAGAGGTAGTCCTGTGCTTTTAACTTTGTGCAGTTTTGTGAAGGAACATGTATGTCCCTCCAGGTTTAATAAGGAATATGCTTCTGTAGAGTTGTGTTTGCTTCTGTCCCGTGCCATCTGATGCCATCTTTCCACTTAGCTGAGTTGTCCCTGGAGATCGTAGCACTGGCTCTCCTAGGCTGTGTTGCACAAACCCTGAGCAGAGAATGCACTGTGCCTGAAGATAATCAGGGGAATGTAAAAAATGAAACTTGTTGCTCTTTTAAAACTATACCAGCCAACTGAAAAGCTGATTGAATTCCTTGAGAGACTGTGGATTTGCATCTGGCTTGGAAGTAAACATAGCTCCGTGCGGAAGGGAATACAGCAGCAGAAAGAAAACAGAACCTGTCCAGCTTCTCAGCTGGAGTTTGGGAATTCCAGTATGAAGAAAAGAACTAGAATAGTAGTTTACAGTTAATAACTGCTGGCAGTTCTCTTGAGCTGTGTTCAATATTGCAGGTATAGATGCCAACGGGAAACCTCCCAGAGGGAGCAGATTTGTTTCTGCTTTGGTCTAGCTGTCTGGTGATCACAGAGGGGCAATAAAGATGGGTTTACTTGTATTTCTTGTAACTTGTTTACTTGTATTACTTGTAACTGGAACGAAGCATCTCTCTTATTTTATCACTAAGAGAAACTGTATTACCCTGCTGTTGTCCAAAAGCTGCATTTGCTTATTCATGGAGCAGACACAACCAGTGATTCACCTGCAGGAGTTATTCTTAGGGGAACAGGCTGTGGCTTTCTGAAGAATCATCGAGCTTTTTTGTTTATTAGGATGTGCCTGTCCCACATCTAAGCATTTATCCAGTAGCCTGCACGTTCGTAAACTCTGGACCTTAATAGCCATGGTGCTTCTGCGTCTCTACTTAGCTGCATTTTGACTACTCAATTTTCATAAGACCGCATCTAAGCATTTATCCAGTAGCCTGCATGTTTGTAAACTCTGGACCTTAATAGCCATGGTGCTCCTGCCTCTCTAGTCAGCTGCATTTTGACTACTCAATTTTCATAAGTTCTGGGCAAGTTTTTCATCTTGTATATGTGGATTAATCCTACGCCTACACAGTGCCTTGTTTAAACATTTTGATGGTGACCAAAGTAGACATTCTCCCAGAATGAAATGCTTGGAAGGACGAGAGAGCACTGCCACCGGGTCACCAAACTGTCCTGATGGCTGCTGTGCCTTTTGGTAAGATATCCCCAATTTTTCTGTGTGCACCCAATGATCCTGTCTGCCAACGCTCTCCCCTCAGGTGCTGTTCACTCCTGCCACTCAAGCTGCCCGACAGGCTGCCTGCACCATTGTGGAAGCTCTGGCCACCATCCCCAGCCGCAAGCAGCAGGTCCTTGATCTCCTGACAAGGTATTGTTGTGTTGCTGCACTTTGACAGCTCCCAGGATTATTTTTTTTCTTTAATTCCCATGAGAACCTCTCCCTTCTTCCAACTTTTCTCACACCTCTCCATTGTGTACCTCTGTTTCACAGGTCTTTTTTGGCTGGATTCTAAAACTTAATTAGCTGGGATGGTATAGATTTAGGGAGGCTTTTTTTTTTTTGCTGCCTGGCAATAAGCTCTTGCAGTTGTGTGCTTTTTCTAGAGAATTTTGGCTTTTTCAACTTCTTTTTCCCACCAGCAAATGGTGTTGAGCTGTGTGGACAGCATTCCCCTGCCTCTTAAACAGCAAAGTCATAGGATGAACCCTATTCCAGCTCCTGTGATGTAACTTACCCCAATTGATGCTGGTAGGAACTCCTTTTTGGGACAAAATACCACTTTATATCTATTGAGTACTGACTATCAGTTATGCTGGTAGCTGGGAGGATGACAGAGGAGGATTTCTGGAGGCTTTTTCTTTCTTTCCACGGCGTCCTTAAGCTGTGAATACCCCTTGTTACTGTGAAGTGGTTTCCAGCTTGTGTTTCTCTTCACCAGTTACCTGGACGAGCTGAGCATTGCTGGCGAGTGTGCCGCCGAGTACCTGGCCCTGTACCAGAAGCTCATCAAACCAGCCCACTGGAAGATCTACCTGGCAGCCAGGGGGGTTCTGCCCTATATCGGCAGCCTCATCACTAAGGTATGGACTTGTGTGGAGGACTTAGGTAGCAACAGAAAGCTTCACCTCTCCATTTGGCTTTTTCTCATAGAATCATAGAATCATCTAGGTTGGAAGAGACCCTTGGGATCATCGAGTCCAACCATCTCCCCTACTCTACAAAGTCCTCCCCTACACCATGTCCCTCAGCACTGCATCTAAACGGCCCTTAAACACAGCCAGGGATGGGGACTCCACCCCCTCCCTGGGCAGCCTGTTCCAATGCCCGACCACTCTTTCAGTGAAAAATTCCTTCCTAATGTTCAATCTAAACCTCCCCTGTTGGAGCTTGAAGCCGTTCCCTCTCGTTCTGTCACTAATTACCTGTGAGAAGAGACCAGCACCAACCTCTCTACAGTGTCCTTTCATGTAGTTGTAGAGAGTGATGAGGTCTCCCCTCAGCCTCCTCTTCCTCACACTAAACAGCCCCAGCTCCTTCAGCCGCTCCTCATACGATTTGTTTTCCAGCCCCCTCACCAGCTTCGTTGCCCTCCTCTGCACTCGCTCCAGCACCTCCAGATCTCTCTTGGATTGAGGTGCCCAAAACTGGACACAACACTCGAGGTGTGGCCTCCCCAGTGCTGAGTACAGGGGCACAATCACCTCCCTACTTCTGCTGGTCACACTATTTTTGATACAAGCCAGAATGCCATTGGTTTTCTTGGCCACCTGGGCACACGGCCGGCTCGTATTCAGCCTCCTTTGAAATCTTCCCCTCTTCCTTCGCTGCCCCGTTGCTGACCCTTGGCAGGTTTATGAAGTTCACGCTTCTGCGCTGTCATCTCTGAAAAAAAAGAGCTGCAGTGGTTTTAGCCCCAGCTGTAGCCTTCCTCAGCCCCAACTGGCTGGTACACATTAATTAACTGCTCTGGGGGCAGCCGTGCTACGGGGTATAAATATTGGTGCGCTGACTTGGCACCAGGTCCCAGTTGGAAGCTGGCTTAGCTGCCAGACTGGGCTCCGAAAGCCTGTAATGACAAGGGGGGATTAGGTGTGCTACTGTTCCCTGAGTGTGAGTTACAGCCTGTTGGAGAAGCACCACGTTTAAGTTGTAGTTTTCAGAGTGTTAGGTCTTAGGAGTTTGCTGTGTTGATCCCTTGTTTGCTCCAAAGAGGCAGATGACACTGTCCTGTATTAGTGGTGGCCTTGAGTCCATCGTGGAGGACCACTGGAGCAAAGCAGTGCTAATAGGGAGAAAAAGGGGAAGGTATTTTGGGTTTTTTTTTCCTCTCCTCTCCCCCTTCCCTCCCAGCTGCTCCATTGCACTTATAATTTTTCTGTGACTGGCTCTTTTGCTTTGCTGTGTTCCCTTGTACCCCATGTTAGACACTCGCCAGCTACTCCTTATTGGCATCACAGTTTCTTATCCTAATGGGCTTGTTAATTATTTTCAGGAAATAGCTCGTTTACTTGCCTTGGAAGAAGCAACACTCAGCACTGATTTGCAGCAGGGATATGCCTTGAAGAGTCTCACAGGTATTTGGTGACATCAACACAAGTCTTGTAGTAGGATTAGAGACAGAGTGATGGTTGTTCTGTAACAGCATGTAGCAGAATTTCAAAGAGATGTGATTCAGTGTATTGCAATTGTCAGCGTTGGATTGTTGCCATCAGTTTAACACTTAATACTTAAATGGATTTTTTTTCCATAGTTTTTTGTGGTCAGTTTGAGTTTTTAATTACTTGAACTGTGGTAATGTATTATAAACAAACTTGGTCACATCACTTTTCTCCTCCATTTCTTAAATACATTCATTGTGCAGTGTAATTCCTGCAGCAATTTGCTGATTTATTCCTATCTGTTGTTTCCTACCTACTTGTTTTATGGTGGCTTTTCTTTTTTTAAATCCTCTAGGGTATACTTTTTTCAAAAACTTGTTGAAAATGGAAAAACATCATTAGCTAGAACATTCTTTTTCATATCCTCTTCCATGGGCTAATTCATAAAGCCTGGCTTCTTGCAAGAAAAAAGCATGTTGATCTGTGATGGGAAAGAATCCAAGCATTTGCTGATTCCTTATTATAGGAATGACCAATTTGGTGATGTAACTGATAAGTCACATACCACTCTTGCTCTTGCATCCTCAGAGCTAGCCTGAATATTGGAAGGGGAGCAGTCAACTGCTTTTGGAATGAAAGTGACAGAAAAATGTCAAAAAAGTGCGGAATTTCATATCAAGCACTTAGAAAGCTCCTTTATACCCTTTCCTCATTCCCTCACCATGGTCTCCAGCAACGGGAGTTGTAACAAGCCATTTCATTGTGCTGCTTTTGTGATATTGTGCCCTATTTGCCGGCCACATGAGATTTAGAGCCAACAAATCAAGCTCTCTCTCCCTCTCCCTGAACATCTCATTGCTTTATAGGTCTTCTCTCTTCCTTCGTGGAGGTGGAGTCCATCAAAAGGCACTTCAAGAGCCGCCTGGTGGGTACGGTCCTGAATGGTTACCTGTGTTTGAGGAAGCTGGTGGTACAGAGAACAAAGCTCATCGATGAAACCCAGGACATGCTGCTGGAGATGCTGGAAGATATGACAACAGGTAAAACCACCTTGGTTCCGTAAATCCAGAGTGTGGCTCAACCAGTATGAAAAAACAGGTGGTTACAGCCACACAAAGAACTTCTGTCTAAAAGACTGCTATAGTGAACGGCTTTTTTTGTTGCTTGGACCTTCCAGTATTTCCTTTTGGCACAGAAAAGGTAAATAATGTTCCTGGAGTCATCTCTTACTTTCAAGGAATTTAAACTTCCCCCTTTTTATGGGATTGCTTTACTGCAGCCCAAGCGTGCAAAGGGTTTTCCTAATAAACGTGCCAGTAAATAACCGCTCATCTTTTAAGCAGTGGATATGCAAAGGAAGAGGGCACCAAAGTGTGGTGCTTATTGCAGACAGGTTTATTGTGTGTGCTGAGTTAAAGTGGAACCTGTAAAATTGACTCCTGTGTCTTTTTAATACTTCTGTTTCTTGGCAGGCACGGAATCGGAAACCAAAGCCTTTATGGCAGTGTGTATAGAGACTGCCAAACGTTACAGCCTCGACGACTACAGGACTCCAGTCTTCATCTTTGAGAGACTCTGCAGTATTATCTACCCTGTAAGTACAGAGATGGCTGTAGCATCACTTATAACTTTACATTTCCTAAACAGATACAATTGCTTGCATTTTGGCAAAAAACCAATAGTGTCTACAATAATGATTTCATATTAGCTGGTGCAGGACTGCAGTAGTATCCCATTTTGGGGTTTTGTGTTCAGGTTCCCTGCTGTGGCACGCTCTGTGCAAACAAGCAGAACCAGGAGTGGTGTTTCATGCTGAGGAGTTTGCTTGCTAAATGATAGCAGACATCCTCTGAATGCCACATGTGTGACACAGGATGCACCAGTGACAAAAGGACGGCAGGTTTAGGGCCATCCTGTCACTCGCTGCCATAAAAATGCAGGAATGGGAACATGGTCAAGGAAAAACTTACTCACTCTGTCTCTGCTGCTGTTCTTTAGGAAGAGAATGAAGTGACTGAGTTCTTTGTAACTCTGGAGAAAGATCCCCAACAGGAAGACTTCTTACAGGGCAGAATGCCAGGAAATCCCTACAGCAGCAACGAGCCTGGCATCGGGCCGCTCATGCGGGACATCAAGAACAAAATCTGTCAGGACTGTGACCTGGTGGCTCTGCTGGAGGATGACAGTGGAATGGAGGTAAGGATGCCCAAGTGTGGATTTCTTGCAGGGATGTGTGAGGCAGCTGATGATGGCTGGAGTGGTGAGGCAGTGTGAGCTGGTTCTTGACTTCCTGTTTTCTGTCTTTCAGCTTTTAGTGAACAATAAGATCATCAGTTTGGATCTGCCCGTGGCTGAGGTCTACAAGAAGGTGTGGTGTCCCACTAATGAGGTGGGTGTTACTGCCAGATATATATTAACAGCACAAAGCACCTGTCCTTGATATTAACAAAAAAACAGGGGGGGGACAAAAATCACAGGAGTCAGGATTTATTTTCTGGCATAGAATTTCTCGGATATAATCAGTCAGCACCTTTTTGTGCTCTCCCAGGACAGACTGTTACTCAATTCTGTGACACAGTGATTTAAAAGCACATAATGCTGACCCAGGTGAGTGTATTGAACTCACCCGTGTGGCGTGTCAGAGATGTGAGCTGTCTTCTGGAGTAATAAACTTTCTTACATTCCTTTGGGGAAACAGCTGAACTTTGTGTCACTGTCAAAGCACGTTTCACACTCCATCTGCATGTGACAGTTTAATGCGTGTGCACAGACAGGGACACCAGATTGCTCCATCATCCTGCGCTTCAGAGACCAACACAAGTTATTTATGCAGAGAGCATCCAACATTCCTCCAAATTTGCACTTCTGCTCTCATGCTTTTCATCTAGGAATCTCAAGACCTCAACAAATTCTATCCTCCCAGTTTGCTTTTGGTCTGTATTGCCTTGTTTTTCAGATGAGTAAGTGCAGCCAACAATCTTGAGGGACTGGTCCACCGTGTCACAGTAAGATTTTTCCCAAGGTGGATGTGGTCCAGGACAAGCTCTTCCCTTCCTTTTCCTGAAGCCTCTAAAATAAAATCCCATTGAGAAGGAATCCATCAGACTAAATCTTGCCCATTACAAATACGTTCTTTAGAGGGCACCACTAGTAGCACTTGAGATCATAAAAGAAGACTGATTTGCCCAACATTTTTTGTTCATTTCTCACGTACTCTTGGTTTGGAGTCACCTTTGACTGAAACCTCGGTTTCCTGAAAGCATTTCTTTGCTGTGCTGGTGGGGCAGAATTCACACCAAAGGCCTGTTTTCAGTGAATTATGATATGGGGAATGGTTCTCATCAAGCTTTGTTTAAGTAAAAATGCCTTTTGTACTGCAAAATCAAGTTGAAGGCTAGGTAACTGATAACGTTTTAGTAAGGTACCAACTTGGATAGGGAAGAGGTGCTGGTCCTAAGCTGGGAATTCTAATTTGAACTCTGAGGGAGTTACCGAGGGAAATCATGGCAGGGCTGGCCCTGCCCGCTCGGAGCAGTGACATGCTCTTCCCATAAGATCATTGGATCATAGAATGGTTAGAGTTGGAAGGGACCTTAAAGATCATCAAGTTCTAACCCCCCTGCCCTGGGCAGGGACACCTCCCACCACACCAGGTCCCTCCACGCCCCCTCCAACCTGCCCTTGAACCCCTCCAGGGATGGGGCAGCCACAGCTTCTCTGGGCAACCTGGGCCAGGCTCTCACCACCCTCACACCAAAGAATTTTCTCCTAATATCTAATGCAAATCTCCCCTCTTTCAGTGCCAAACCCTTCCCCCTTCTCCTAGGGCTCCCCTCCCTGATCCAGAGTCCCTCCCCAGATTTCCTGGAGCCCCTTGAGGGACTGGAAGGGGCTGGAAGGTCTCCCTGGAGCCTTCTCTTCTCCAGGCTGAACCCCCCAGCTCTCTCAGCCTGTCTGAGATGCAGCGCTGGGTGAGAGGCAGTGTTTGCTCAGCGTTGCTGTCAGAGAACAGCTCTCATCCCCCTCCTTTGTGTGCGCCTCCCCAAAGCGCCTCTGGAGCTGCAGCTCACGTTCCCTAGGAAATAGACAGGCGCACAAGAAGGCAACCTCAGGCCCCTTTTTGTTTCCCTTGTCTCTCACTGGCTTTTTTTGTTCATCTGCCATTTTACCAGGGCCCCTGTGGTGTTAATTGCTGGTCTCTAGCGTGGCCTTTGAGCAGATCTTCCCCCCGGGGCTTTCCCTGTGCTTATGTATTTGCTGTGACATTAAGCACTGCTTATTCCACATTAGGCTTAGCGCGCTCTCTGACAGGTTTTCTCTCGCAAGGTCTCCTGCTCCCAAATCTGGGATTTTTCTTTTCTGCTTTTTATTCAGGCCTATGGATTAAAATGGAAAGTTTCGTGATACGCTGTCAGTATTTCCAGCTGGAAATGCTTCTGGAAAACTAGCCCTTTCCCAGGGTAAAAGCACAGCTTGTGCTTCAGTGGGTTTGGCTGTATCATTTTCATATTACACTGTCTTACTGAAAGCTCGTTAAATTGTCTTTTACTCCTCCTCTTCCATTTTCCATCACTGCAGATTTTATCTGTTTGAAAGCACTCATCCAATTAGCCTTTCCTGCTTCGTTTGCCAGGCTGTGCCTGATGCTGGTGTTTCCCAGGTGTGCTGTGCCATACCCTTGGAGGGAAAGGTGCCCTGGAAAGCGGGCGTTTCTCTGTAGGTAAACACATTTGGCTTGGCTGGATCTTTCCCTGGTGCTAAAGGAAACTGTTGAAGAAGATCTAAGGAGGAAGAGACTGTTTATTATCAGCCTGCCCATCTAATTGGCAACGCTAGGAAAAGGTGGACAGACAAATACATGAGTTATGGATGTTTTTGCAGGTGTTGGCTTTACTGTTGTTTTTAACTCAGTCAGGGGAGAATGAGGGAGTGAAAGGTTTCTCTGTGTTACCATCCACTGTCAGAAAAGCACAGAGGAGAACTGAGGCTGGAGAGTCTGTTCCACACTGTAATGAGAACTGGACTTGTGTACAAGTGTCCACAGAGGTATAGTTAATATGAAGCTCTCCTCTCTTGCAGGGGGAGCCCATGAGGATCATTTACCGCATGCGAGGGTTACTAGGAGATGCAACTGAGGAATTCATCGAGTCTCTCGACTCCACCACTGGTAATGCACTTGTCTCCTGAAAGCCGGGATTAGATGTGAAATCTGAGGTTTGCTGCAGAGCAATGACACTATTATCCTTACAGCAGTGAGCTTAAAGTTGATTGACGTTGCTTTTGCTACATTTACCTGCTTCACCTAGAGTAGAGGAGGATTTTAACAACCCTTTAAGTCTGTACTTTAAATATGAACACTTTTACGGCACAGGGACCATTCTGCCTGACCCTTCTTCGTATTTCTACTTACAATTCTTTTCAAATTCGATACAGTTGAAGTGACTTGAACTGCTGGTAAACATGTCCTACTGTATCTTCCATTTTTACTTCACTGTTTGGTCCCGTGGGCTGTGCAGCACGAACTTGCCATATTCTGGCTGCTTTTTCTCCTCACGATCCGTGTCTGTCCTGCAGATGAGGAGGAGGACGAGGAAGAAGTGTACAAGATGGCAGGTGTCATGGCGCAGTGCGGGGGCCTGGAGTGCATGCTCAACAGACTGACTGGAATCAAGGACTTCAAACAGGGCCGGCACCTCTTAACTGTGAGTCTCAGCTTCTGTCCTTTGGGGTCAGGAGTTAAATGACTGGAAATGCCACAAGCTTTAGTCAGGTTTAGCTGTTCTGCCTTGTGTTGCAGTTTGCATTGGAGCAGGGGTTTCAATTCACTAATTAATGAAAACCTGGGAAATTCCTTCTTTCCCTCTCCCATTCCTCTTGGCTAACAAATCTTCACAAAAACTTTGAAGTGTGTAGAGCCTGAGGAGCATGTGAGACTAAATCCTCTCTTGCTGCTGTAATTGTTAGACCTTAGGCCAGCTTTGGTTTTCAAGTAAGGTCAAAGTAGAAAACAATCTGGCTTGTACTTTACCCCAGAAATCTGGAAACTAGCAATATTATCAGGTGCTTTTAGTTTCAGCAAAATCCTTCTACTCTCATTTTGAAGGTACTGAAGGGAATGTGTTCTCTGTGTTTTGTAGGTGCTGTTAAAACTGTTCAGTTACTGTGTGAAGGTGAAAATAAATCGTCAGCAGTTGGTCAAGCCGGAGATGAACACTTTGAATGTCATGCTGGGAACTCTGAACTTGGTAAGGACAATCCAGAGTTTCATGAAGTGTTTTCCGTGGACTCCAAGGAATTTTAAACTCCCTCTGACTCTCTTGCTGCTTTATAACAACTACAAGAGATCTCAAATATTGCTGGACTGGTGCTGCAAATTACCTCTTAGCCATTCCTTAGTGAGTAGAAGAGTTAAACCAGTTCCTGCTGGTGTTACAATAACTGTCCCCATCTTCTCCAGGCTCTGGTGGCTGAGCAGGAGAGTAAGGACAGCGGAGGAGCGGCCGTGGCAGAACAAGTGCTCAGTATCATGGAGATCATCCTGGATGAATCCAACGCAGAACCTCTGAGCGAGGACAAGGTGAGTGCCTGGGGCTGGGTGCAGGAATGGAAATGTTGACTGGGATTCAAGGCTTGCAAATATGTTACTGGAGTGATGCTGAGCTTCAGGAGCTGTCGAGGTGCTAAATGGGAGTCTAACCCTTGTGACGCTTGCTGGCATGTCTTAGCAGGCCATGGAGGTAGGGCAAGAGGAGTGCCCTGAACCAAAAGCACTGTGAAACTTCTTTAAGATGATTCTTGCAGTCAGGGTGGGGGTTATTAGGCGCTGCTTGGATCCCTTCCTTGCTGCTTTGGGCCACGGGCCAGTGAGAGACAAGAAAAGACACGGCTCTGCCTTGTGTTTGTCGGTGTTTTGGTACATGTTGAAAACATGATTGATTTTCCAGCTAATTGAGGATAAAAACAATATCTTAACTACACTGAGAATGAGAAGAGTTTCTTGGTTATTTTTTGAAACTGTTGGTGTGTAGGAATATGGCATCCTTTGGGCTAGAATTATTGGACCTTTTTGACTAGAAAATTCTTTGATAGTAAGTGGAAGCAGCCAGTTGTCAGCTAGAGGAGTTGTTACAGCCATTCCATGAGACCTTGGGGAACGAGGCAGGGTTTTGTTCTTCATCACTCTATCTTATCAGGGTCTAGAGCTCTGATCCTTCAAGACTGGACTACTCTACCGGCTCCTGGAGTGAGGGGTTTTTTCAACATGCTAGATTTATTCCTGAATATAAACCATGGTCTTCTTCCTTTGCAGGGCAACCTCCTCCTCACTGGTGACAAAGATCAGCTGGTGATGTTGCTGGATCAGATCAACAGCACTTTTGTCCGCTCCAATCTCAGCGTCTTGCAAGGCCTATTGCGCATCATCCCGTACCTGTCCTTCGGGGAAATGGAGAAAATGCAGATTCTGGTTGATCGATTCAAGCCCTACTGTAACTTTGATAAGTATGTTGTCATATTTCAACTAAAAGCATGTGAAATCATTTGTACTGACAAGTCTATACCTTTTTTTTTTTTCCCCCTCATTGATGCTTACTTCAGTGTAATGCCAAAGCTTCAGAGGTTTCTGGTGCATAAGCTTAATTTCCTATTTCACTTCTAAGCCATTTTAAAAAGAAATCTGTGAGCGTGTAGCTCGAGAAATAGGGCTTTAGAATATATTCTGAGGTGACAAGGGTCTGAGTAGCTTTTCTGAGTCTCTGAGCTGGAGCAGGTACATGCATTCAGCGATAACGTGATGAGAATTATAGGCAGAGATTTTTTGGAGAGCCTCCAAGTTACCGTTTCTTCTCTTCCTTCAGGTATGATGAGGAGCACAGTGGAGATGATAAAGTTTTCCTGGACTGCTTCTGTAAAATTGCAGCGGGAATAAAGAACAACAGCAACGGGCATCAGCTGAAAGACCTCATCCTTCAGAAGGGAATTACACAGAATGCCCTTGACTACATGAAAAAGCACATTCCCAGTGCAAAGAAGTAAGAGTCACTATTTAATGTGTTTGAGAATCCTGAACGCCCTTCTCTTGCTTCATCAGCACAACAATCTTCTAGGAAAGCCCTTAAGAAGTTCACATTTAGAAGCATTTAGTCGTGGTCCAGGTGTGATGCTGGGCCTGGTGAGACAGTGCTGTTATAGAGATGGGCTAAAAAGCCTCTTATCTTCCCATTTGGTACCTGTCTGCTCCGCTCTGGTGAGACCCCACCTGGAGCACTGTGTCCAGCTCTGGAGTCCTCAGCACAAAATGAATATGGACCTGTTAGAGTGGGGCCAGGGGAGGCCACGGAGTTGCTGGGAGGGCTGGAGCCCCTCTGAACATGGACCTGTTAGAGTGGGGCCAGAGGAGGCCATGGAGATGCTGGGATGGGGCGCTGAAAGAGTTGTGGGGGGTTAAGCCTGGAGAAGAGAAGGCTCTGGGGAGCTCGTCAAGCCCCTTCCAGTCCCTCAAGGGGCTCCAGGAGAGCTGGGGAGGGACTCTGGATCAGGGAGGGGAGCCCTAGGAGGCGGGGGAAGGGTTTGACCCTGCAAGAGGGGAGATGGAGCTGAGCTGTGGGGAAGAACTTGTTTGGTGTGAGGGTGGTGAGAGCCTGGCCCAGGTTGCCCCGAGAAGCTGTGGCTGCCCCATCCCTGGAGGGGTTCAAGGCCAGGTTGGAGGGGGCTTGGAGGGACCTGGTCTGGTGGGAGGTGTCCCTGCCCAGGGCAGGGGGTGGCACTGGATGGGCTTTAAGGTCCCTTCCCACTCAAACCATTCTGTGATCCAAGCTGATTTCTTGGATATCAGGATTCTTGTGTTTCCTGCCTCTTCCTTGCCTGTTGCCCTGCAGCAGAGCTTTTGCTGGTGATGGCCAGCTCATGAATGCAAAGCAAATCCCAAGGCTCAGAGCTGACACTGTGACCGTTAGCGTGCACGACATGGAAGGGGGAGTGTGAATGTCACTTTGTTAATTAATAGAGGAGGTAGACGGGGGGAAGGGTGTTTGTCTTGCCCGCAGCCTGTGTGCTCTGCAAGCTGTGCTGCTGGCTGCCCGCCAAGGGCCTTTTTGGAACGGGTGACTGCCCTTCAGCTGCCACCTCTTGTTTTTTTCTGTGCAGTTTGGACGCAGACATATGGAAGAAATTTTTATCTCGACCTGCACTTCCTTTTATCCTGCGCCTGCTCCGGGGACTTGCCACACAGCACCCTGCCACGCAGGTAAGGACACTGTCCTGAGAGCCAAATAGGACGTGGCTCGCTTCTTACGCTGCTTTTTGGGGCTGTAGCAAAGCAGATATTTCTGTAGTAGATAATTCTGTGCTGGTTTTATTGGGCTCGGAGAAGCACACCAGCTTCAGGTATCGTCTGTGAGTCTGGAAAAGTCTGGAGAGCAGAGATTTTTGATTTAAATATCCTCTCATTCTGTGTGGTGTGAAATGTACACACCAATGTGAAGAGAAGGTGATTCAGGACTGTGAACTTTGTGGTTTTTATAGGCTTCTCAGGGCCTGATGGTTGTTTCAAGAACGCTCTTTATCCAACATCCACAACTGACCTCTTAGTAATGGCCAGTGTGGAGGCAAATTGCCCCAGGGTCGTGCACAGTTTTAGGATTCAGGGTTCTGTAATGTGGGAGCATCAAGGAAGAAAGTAAAACACTTGGCAAAAATTGTTCCAGATGGGTGCTTCTGCTCAGCTGTCCTGGGTGGGGCTGCAGGGAACGGTTACTGTCACACGGGCACCTTTTTTCTGAAGAAAATGCTGTTTCCATCCCTTTAGGTGCTGATAGGTACAGACTCCATTACCAACCTGCACAAACTGGAGCAGGTGTCTAGCGATGAAGGGATCGGGACGTTAGCAGAGAACCTTCTGGAGGCCCTAAGGGAACATCCAGAGGTGAATAAGAAGATTGATGCTGCCCGGAAGGAGACGCGTGCGGAGAAGAAGAGGATGGCCATGGCAATGAGACAGAAGGCCTTGGGCACTCTGGGGATGACGGTAATGTCTGTTTGCCCTGACGGCAGACTGGTGATCTTTTATTTCTCTCTTTGCTAAAACTGCCACCCAAGGAATTGTGTAAAATGACTTAGTGACAAATATCGCAGAGCTCGAGCCCTCGGTTTGCCTGGTGCTACTGGGAGAGTAAATACGGTTGCTAATAGCAGGCTGGGAAATGGGGTGGGCATTCCTGCTACAACGGGGGTGTTCATCCTTGGCTTTTTAACCTGTTCTCTCTTTCAGACAAACGAGAAGGGTCAGGTAGTGACCAAAACTGCACTGCTTAAACAGATGGAGGAGCTTATAGAAGAACCAGGTCTGACTTGTTGCATCTGCCGGGAAGGATACAAGTTTCAGGTAAAGGGAGAGACATTTGCAAAGCCCTCTCTCACCAGCTGAAGGACCTGCCGGTGTCCAGCTGCGTGAGGGTTGATGCAGTGGCTCCAGGAGATCAGGAAATCTCTGGTTTGGCTCTTGGGGTCAGTAATTCCAGGGGTGGTTGGGAATTGGAAGTGTGTTTTCAGTGAAAGCTGGAAAAAGATTTGATTGGGGTAAGTTTGAGGTCAGGACTGGGAGGGATGAAATTCAGTGCAGTGTCACAACAGCACAAAGTGTGAACTGTTCCACAAGTGCCTGATGTTTAACAGAGCTCTTGTGTCATTGCAGCCTACGAAAGTCCTCGGTATTTATACTTTCACCAAACGCGTTGCACTAGAGGAGTTTGAGAACAAGCCCCGAAAACAACAGGGCTACAGCACAGTCTCTCACTTCAACATTGTCCACTACGACTGTCACCTTGCAGCCGTGAGGTACGTCCTGATCACAGGCTGGTGATGTTCAATGGTGGTTGATGTTCTTCTCCACGATGGTTTGTGAGCATGACCTCAGAACTCAGGATGGGTTTGCTTAAAAGTCGATCACTTTGCAGCCTGGAGACAGCCACAGCCTTCTCTGTTGTGGTCTGCTTTAATGTGCCAGGCCTTGGGCACTGAAAAGTGAACTCCACAATTTAAATAAACCTTGGAGTTGTCATTTTTTTGGATGGTTTTTTAGACAAAAACTTGCGTGCTTCTAAATTTCCTGGGTGGGGCTTGTTTTCTCAATGCAGACTCGCTCGCGGCCGTGAAGAATGGGAGAGCGCAGCCCTGCAAAACGCCAACACCAAGTGTAATGGGCTCCTGCCAGTCTGGGGACCTCATGTGCCAGAGTCTGCTTTTGCTACTTGCTTAGCACGGTGAGTAGGAGAGGTTACTTCTCGAGCTGTTTTGTGTTTGGGTAGAGGAGTCAGTACGCTACCACAGAGGGATGCTAGTTTCAGACCATGGAATTGGAGATGGTGGCAACTAAATCTTAGTAAACTTGAATGATTTCAGATTCTGCCATCATGAGTACATCTCCTAAAAAAGTGCAGGTGTCTGTTTGCTTCTTGGCTTCATATACATACAGCATCCTGTCCTGTGTCAGGACCAGCATGGTGAGTAGGACACGGGAGGTGATGGTCCCCCTGTACTCGGCACTGGTGAGGCCCCACCTCGAGGGCTGTGTCCAGTTTTGGGCCCCTTCCCACAAAAAAAGACATTGAGGGGCTGGAGCGGGTCCAGAGAAGGGCAACGGAGCTGGTGAGGGGTCTGGAGCCAAGTCTTGTGAGGAGAGGCTGAGGGAGCTGGGGGGTTCAGCCTGGAGAAAAGGAGGCTGAGGGGAGACCTTATTGCTCTCTCCAACTCCCTGAAAGGAGGGTGTAGCCAGGGGGGGTTGGTCTCTTCTCCCAAGGAACAGGTGGTGGGACAAGAGGAAACAGCCTCGAGTTGCCCCAGGGGAGGTTCAGATTGGAGATTGGGAAAATTGTTTCCACAGAAAGGGTTATCAAGGCTTGGAATGGGCTGCCCAGGGAAGGGGTTGAGGCACCATCCCTGGAGGGATTTAAAAGCCGGGTTGACATAGTGCTTAGAGCCATGGTTTAGTGATGGTTTCTATCAGGGTTAGGTTGATGGTTGGACTGGATGATCTTAAAGGTCCCTTCCAACCTGGACAGTTCTATGATTCTAAATAAATAAATTTGTTACCTATAGCCCATAGTCACTCCTGAAGATCTAGTGTGCGGTAACAATGTTCATTTGCAGCCCAGTGACCCCCTGCTGTACAAAGAAACCTGTCTGACACCAGTGGGTTCCCTTGGGTAGATTTCCAAACTTCTGCTGGATGGTAATGAGTTCCAGCAGCCAGAGCACGTACTGGAGCAGATGGAGATGGTTCATCCTGCTGTTGTTATTCTCCTCCACCTTGGGCTGGGTTTGGTGTCACCTCAGAAATCAGGAGTGGTAACATTTCATCCAGGGAGCTGTATCCTGAGCCCCGGACATGGGAAAATTGTATTGATGAGTGTGTGTGTGTGTGTGTGTGTGTGCAGATGGAATTGGATTTGCTGGGGTAAGCTCCCCTTTGGGGAGGTTAAACGAAGGTGGCAGCGCTTGCATTTTTGTATCCTGTTCATTCTTTAAAGCTTTTTCTGAGATACTCACTCAGATTCTGAGCTCTGGTGTGCAGAAGAAGAAACTGTGTTAAATGTTTTTGAAAGGTTTTTAATTAAATACTGCTGTTTTTCAGACACAACACGTACCTCCAGGAGTGCACAGGGCAGCGGGAACCCACCTACCAGCTCAATGTCCATGACATTAAACTGCTATTTCTCCGTTTTGCGATGGAGCAATCGTTCAGCGTCGATACTGGAGGAGGAGGAAGGGAGAGCAACATTCACCTCATCCCCTACATAATCCACACGGTGCTCTACGTCCTCAACACGTCAGTACCTTTCTCTTACCTCTGCCTTCCACTCTTGGTCTCAGAAAGGTCTAAAAGGGCTGTGATCTGAGCTTTGTTACACGTTTGTGGCAGGAAAGATGGGAAATCTCACCAAAGTTTTAGGAGGAACCAAATTGTGCATCTGCAGCAGACTGGCAGAGGTTTATATTGTTTGGAGTAAAGCGTTGCTGCCTGAACATGCAGGATAACAGGGAACCTATTGAGTAAAAGCAATTGGGAATTAGCTTCTCTTTCCATCCTAGATGTAATTATTACCTCTGGGGTGAGCAACTGGGTTATGAAAGAAACAGTGCCAGCTTAATTTTCTCTGGAGCAGACAGGAGAGAAGACACTATGATGAAGTAATTGTTGTGAGTTGAAAACTTAACCCTGCTATCATTTTATCTGACATGAAAACAACAGAACCAGTTTGGGTTCCAGTTTTGACATGATGGAGTTCTCCTGTAGCATTCAGGTCCATCAGATTTCCGTGACATTCCTAAGATTATTTTTTCATTATTATTATCTTTTTTACTAGTAAACAGCAACGTGGGAACGCTTCTGAAGTGTTTCACTAATATTTATACAAAGCACAAGTATCGGGCGTGCTTTGGCTTGACTCTGTGGCTCAGTGTACAAATCTGTAGCCACTGAAATGCTTTTGAGTATTGATAATACAGTACCCCGTGTGAAAATGCCTTTTATTTGTGTAGTTAAATACCAGAAAGTAATATTAATTAGAAGAAGGTATTAATGTTAAAATATAGTCCTGTTCAACCAAGGTCACTCCAAACAGAATGCAATGAAATCTCTCTCACTTTCCCGCCTGGAACTAATCAACATTTTGGCTCTAATACAATTTGTCTATTGTTTTTAATATCTATCTCCAGATCCCTCTGCTATTGTTTTCTGAGTCCCTTGGGAGACAAATAAATGAAACTGTTCTTTTCATCTCGTTAGTCTGCTTACTGGCACCAGAGAGCCCAGAACCCGCTGTGCGGCTGTTGGATAAAAATGCATTATGTAGTTTCCAGACATTATTTTTTTTTTTTTTTTTTTTTTTCATGTTCGATATTAAATGGAGAAAATGAAGAGCTACTAGTTGGCTACCAGCTGCTTCATGTAGCAAATGAAAAGGTCACACAACGCTGACACCCAGACACAGCTTTATCTGCTGGGATGTAGCTTTATACCTTCCTGCTAGGGAGAGTATATCTAACTGAAAAATTGCGGGACTTACCTGGCTGGGAGCCCTTTTCTGATGAAGTAGAGCAATAAACTGTGGTAACGTGGGGTACATCTTCACAAGCTCTACTGTAACACAGTCAGCTCCGGGGTGTCAGCACTCCTGGAGAGACTGGAGCTACGGGAAAGGGAAAAAAATGACATATATAAGCTTACAGTAAATACACCATCTTTTTGATTTTGCAGTTGGCCTGTATCTTCTCAGTGATGGCTTTTGCGGTAGATGAATAACATAAATTGATTCCAAGGTCTGGCTGTAGGAGCTGCTGTCACATGCTTGGTGTCAGATGGGAGATGGTACAACCTGAACACATGGACTGGCTGGCCTGACTCTTTTTTTTTTCTCTCTAAAAAAAGAAGAAAAATAGCTTTACAGTGGTATTGTCCTCTCTTGGGGCAATGCCAGCTGCCTTCCAGATGTCTCTAGTACCATAGGAAGAAATACCTTCTTAGGAAGAAATTCTTTGCTGTGAGGGTAGTGACAGCCTGGACCAGGCTGCCCAGAGAAACTGTGGCTGCCCCATCCCTGGAGGGGTTCAAGGCCAGGTTGGAGGGGGCTTGGAGCAACCTGTTCTGGTGGGAGGTGTCCCTGCCCAGGGCAGGGGGGTTGGAACTTGATGATCTTTAAGGTCCCTTCCAACCCAAACCATTCTATGATACTCAGAAGTGAATTTGCTAGGCTGGTGTGCTTCACTGGGAGCAAATACTCAACCAGTGAGAAGTGAATTTGCTAGGCTGGTATGCTTCACTGGGAGCAAATACTCAACCAGTGGATGAATTTGGGAAAAAACTGGTAATGCAAAGCTAGCAGTGCTTTTTCCTATATGGGACTTCCTGAGTGTGGCACCTCAAAGCTCCTGAGATACAGCAGATTCACATTGAAGAGCCAGAACAGCTGCTGAAGCTTTTCTTGTGTTTCAGAACTCGAGCGACTTCAAGGGAGGAGAAGAACCTTCAGAGCTTCATGGAGCACCCCAAGGAGAAGTGGGTGGAGAGTGCCTACGAGGTGGACGGGCCCCATTATTACACCGTGCTGGCGCTGCACATCTCGCCCCCGGAGAAGTGGAAAGCCATGCGAGTGGAGATCCTCAAGAGGCTCCTCATCACCTCTCACGCGCGAGTGGTGTCACCAGGGGGAGCCAGCAGGTTAGCCAGGAGCTCTGCTCCTCCTCCACCGCTGCCACCGCGCTCTGTGACCCTCACAGCAGTCACAGCCCCACGGCAGCTTGTGGGGATCCAAGGACAGGAACATGTGTATTTTAGAACAGCTCTTATTAACCTTTCTCAGTAGTTTTGTACTCAGCATCGCAGAGGTATGAGCAGGAACATTCAATTCTGGATGTTTTTTGGAGTGGATCAATTAGCTGCTGAGCAGAAATGATGCTTTTTCTAGGAGTGAACTGCAAGATGCTTATTGCCCCCCCATCTCAAGTGAAACGCTGTAGTAGTTTGTGTTGCGTGCTGTTTCCGAGCTGCTAGCGTGCTCTCTGCTCTCTTGCCTCCCTAAAGAAGCTGTTTCTGTGCTCTTTTGATCAGTGCACCAGCTTCCTTAAATAGAAAAACAGAAATAGAAATCAAGTGCCATTGCTTTTAAAAAAGAAAAAAAAAAAAATCAATAGCAGCTGTCAAGCACTTGAAATACAAGAATAAGTGGCTGTGCCTGCCTGACAAAAGCACATATTTCCAGAGAAGAAAGGGGGAATTCCAGTTTCTGAAAAGATGATTTTAAATAGCTGTCATAATTAGGAATAAATTCATTATTATTCTAAGTCGCCTTAAAGGGCATTCTTATGCCGATGACATTAATTATGTGCTTGATAAAGTCATTACATTGTCGGAACACACAACACAGCATGCATCAATGCTATTAGAGGCATCAAAAGTGAGAGAGCCCTTAAAGGGGCTCCTGTATTGATTTCTGTGCTGGTTTCTGCTCTTCCAGCTCAGCCCTGCTCTCTGATCCTGTCTCCTCTTTCCACTGCCCTGCCCGAGTTCTGGGAAAGGGGGAGGTTAAGAGTTACAGGAGATATTATCCAGGAGGACTGTTCTCTGGGACACAAGGATGTGCAGCTTTTTCGTGTGACCTGTGAAAGAGACCGGGAAAGCCAAGACCCTCTGTGGGTTTGCTGTGGATGTTTGGTGTTTTTTAAAACCCTCAGTAAATAATTCTGTTTCTTTCCCAGCTGATCTCTGAGCATGTATGTAATCAAAGTATATTGAAACGGACATAGCAAGAAACTTGGAGCTAAACCATCCAATCTGTGGAATTTCAGGGGAAGACACTCAGAAATAGTCCTCGGGAATTATGTCAAGGTTTATTCAAGGGCTTTCTTTAATCCCTGCAAACTAAGAGAGCACAAAGCCTTCTGCTGATAATACCTCTCAGAAATAGAAATATGGCAATTCTTATTTCCAAGCTCTGTGCTTATTTATTCTTGTGGAAAATCAGGAAGAGGGCGATGGATGGTGAAACGCTCTGCAGATAAGTGCCAATATCCTGAATTTGTAGGCAAAGAGGAAGCCAGTGTCTGTAACATCAGAGTAATATGTCTGCATACAAAAGATTAAAATTAGCATTCCACGTGTGATGTAGTGCCAGGGTGTTATCTGGGAGCTCCACTGCTCAGAGCACACCGGGGTGGTGTGGGCTGAAGGTTAGAGACACACCAGGACTCACTGCTCCCTTTCCTGGGGGAGATGGAGAGAAGTGGCTGTAGGAACCAACAGCACATCTAAAAGCAGCTGAGGATCAGCTCCTGGTCCTAAAAAGAGTCTGTAAATCTTATTAATGAAGACACAGGCAATACTCTGCATTCCCTGGTACTTAAGTGAAGGCAACAAATGCAGCCTGTGCCCTGTCCCGTGGTTAGGTGTTTTATCCAGTGCTCAGCTGGATTAGTCAGCGTAAGGCAGATTTGAGGAGAATTTAGCCCAAAATGTCTTCTGGCTCTGCCAGGAGCTACAGCTATCGCAGTCTGTCTGCAGGACCAAAGTGTGGGATACTCAGCACCTTCTGGGTTTTAGAACCACTTTGCATTTAAATCCAAAGATTAAATTACCAGGATAGATAGGAGTGTTGCAGGTTTCTTCTTTTATATATAGTTTACAAATTCCAAAGGATTGAATCAAGTGCCTGATTACCTGCTCGTTACATAAACCAAGAATTCTGGTTAAGAGAAAAATCCTATCGACGCTTTGCAGTACAGCTTTCATCTGGAGTTTGGGAGGAAAACATCCTTTTGATTTTTGGTTGGTTTTTTTTGTTTTTTTTTTTTTTCTTTGCTCCTGACTGTGACCTTTCTAAAATATTCATGAGAGAAGTGAAGCTCCCAAAGTGTTCATGTCTAACTTTCCGCTGGCGATCCATGCGTAGCCGATGAGCCTCAACCAGCTTACGTTAATGAAAAGGCAGCAGCTATTAGATGAAGTAGCTGTTCCAGGAGGTGGCTACCACACTTAACCCACAAGGGCCTTTTAGTTTTCAATTAAAGGAGCAGACTCCAATTAGATCAAAACCATTCACACAAAAAGAAACTCTGGCTTGCAGTATTTGGGAGTCTAGAATTAGCCTCGCTCTAAGTTGCTTGTTCTTCCCGTGGAAATTTAGTCACCTTTACTAATTGGTTTTCCTTTAAATAATTAAGCCTAGCAGCCCAAGCAGGCTGCCACCTACCAAGCTGTCCGTTTTAAGGGCAGACACACAAATGTAGCCTTTTAAAATAAGAGCAGCAAAACATTCACTTTCCCCCAAAAAACCCCAACTGATGGTAGGTTGGAGTTGGGGCTGTGGTCAGACGATACCCTTTTCTTTTGTCTTGCTGACTTGCCTCAGTGGCAGCTGAGCTGGTCCTAGATGCATTAAAAAAAGGGGTTTGTTGTTTTTTTTCTCTCCAAAGCTTTTAAGTGGTGAGCAGGAAGCAGCATGTGAGGGAGGCAGATGTACCTGAGAAACACATGCAAGAAAATTCCAAACCCATTAGAGTTGCTGGCAGGAGGTTCCGCCTTGCCAGAACCTGTTGGTGATTAATCCCATAAACTTTGGGAGCTGTTATCCCAGGACAGCTCTCCACCTTTTATAGCATTTCTTCAACCAGATGCTGAATTACCAAAAGAAGCCCTTTCGTGGCGATAGAATAACCGAGAAGAGAGAAAATGGAAATTCCTCCATTTCTTCAAGGGCAAGATATTTCCCTCAGAGTCTTTTGAAAATGCTTTTGTGAGTTAGAAGCAAAAATGTGTTCTCTGTCATTGATCCAGACTGTGGCTGAAACCTAGATCTAGTTATTTCTTCAGGAGCCAGCTGTACCCCAAGCAGTGACCAGACAAATGGGGGCTGTGCTTTATTTTTTGCAACCTTCCTGTTTTCTTCCTCCAGAGTCTTAGCAATCCGCTTCCCTCCGAGCTTGTTTTCTTCCTGTGAAGTAAGGTTTTTTTGGCTAACTGTTACACTGGGCACAGCTGGTAAAGGAATTTCCTGTAGGAATCAATGTGCAGAAGCTGTGGATGCCCAGTGTTTGTTTCGTGTCCAAGAGCACACAGGAAAGCTTACCCAGAGCCATTCCCCATGCGTGTTATTGCGTGTTATTGATGGGCTTTGGGGCCGTTTCAGCTTTCGCTCTATTCATCATATGGGATACCAAAGCGTAGTAAAGTGATTAACTCCAAGATTGATTTCATTATCTTCCTAGACTGGCGGATAAGACAGTGAAGGAATACGCAACGTACCGCTCCGGCCTTCTCTTCTGGGCCCTAGTAGATCTCATTTACAACATGTTCAAGGTAAGAAAAAACACACAAGTTCTCTAACCTGAGCAACTCCCTGCTTTTGAAATGGAGGGTTGGGCAGAGAGGAGCCTGATGAAATTCAACAAGGGCAAGTGCAGGGTGCTGCACCTGGGGAGGAATAACCCCC